ATTTATTTTACATGTATGTAGCTTTGCTAATTTTGAATAACAAATTTTTATTTTAATATTTTAGTCTCTTTGGTTTAAGATGGAAACTATTGACTGAAACAGGAAATTAAGTCTTTTGAGACAACCTGAGTTATCACTTTCTGCTTATTGAATTGCTTAATAGATAATTTCTATTAATGGCTATTAATGGCTATAGCCATTATCAAGTTTGAAAGAAATCAAAGATTTGAAAGAAAAATGCATTGCAGTTCTAAAAAATATTTTATTCACTCTTAAATTTAATTTTTATAATTACAAATTTATATAGAAGTTACAATTATAGTAAAAATATCCTTTTCTGCATCATTAATATTAAGTTGTCACACCTGATTCCCCATTCACCCCTTGATGTGTTTTTCCTACAACAGAGATATTTTTCAATACAATACAACCATCAAAGTCAGAAAGTTAACAATAATACATTTCTAGTACCAAACTGTCAGACTTCATTAGAACTTGTCCAATTGTCCCAATAATGTCCTTTATAGCAAAAGAATCCAGTTCAAACTCACTTTACATTTTGTTGTCATCTTTAATCTCTTTTGATCTAAAAAAGCCTTCCACCTTTCCTTGATCTTCATGACCTTGACAATTTGAAGAATATTTTGTGGCATGTAACTCAATTTGAATTTGTCTGATGTTTTCTCCTGATCAGACTCATGTTATGAAGATTCGTCAGAGATATAACAAAAGTGATGCTGTATTTTTGTCATTTCATCTTTGTAAATTATCAGTATTTTGAGGTACACTACTTTTCAATTATGTGTATATTTTTTTTCCTCATCAAAATTTTAATTTATTCATTACTTAGACATAAGTGTAGATTCATGAATCCCTATTTTATTCCATTACTGTCTTTATTGCAATACTCAAATTTTCTCACATTTGACTAATGGAGGCCCCTTTAAACTGGCTTTTGTGCCCTTTGATATGTCCCCATCGTTCTTTGAGCAATTCCTCATTTTTTAGTACAAAAAGATGTTCCATCTCAAATTGTCCCTTTCCTGCCTCAGCCCTGAAATCATCCATTTCTCCAACAAACCCTGGTTCTTCCAGCAGAACAGGGCATTGAGAAGCCAAGATCAGGATACTAACTGTGCTCATTGTTATTAGCATGTTGCTGCTCCCAGGTTCTCTCAGTTGAAAAGCTAGGGTCTCTATCTATCTATGTATCTATCTATCTATCTATCTATCTATCTATCTATCTATCTATCTATGTATCTATCTATCTATCTATCTATCTATCTATCTATCTATCTATCTATCTATCTCTGTATTTGTCTGTATTCCTATCCATAGCTCTATATATTTATAGCTATAACTACATATCTATATAGAGAAAGAACAAGATATGTCTATAAACACATTTACATCTATATGTATAATCTATCCATATTTGAGAACTGTGAGATCTATTCACATCAATACCTCCAATTCTTTTTTTTTTATCCTCACCCGAGGACATTTTTCCATTTTTTGTTCAGGTAGAGTGGGAGGGAGAGAGAGGAACAGAGAGAGAGAGAAACATCGATGTGAAAGAACACATCGAGTGGCTGCCACCCACACAACCGACCAGGGCCGGGGACAAACTGCAACCGAGGTACATGCCCTTAGCGGGAACTGAACCCGGGCCTCTCAGGACTGCAGGCCGACGCTCTAACCGCTGAGCCAAACCGGCCAGGGCTCAATACCTCCAATTCTAATCCAAAAACAAAGGGTTCATTCCATTTTTTTTTTTTCCCCCTTTTGAATATCTGCAACTCTCTTCTCCAACAGTGAGAAACCTGGATCCTATTATCACTTATATATTTTCTGATTTGATTCATAACCCTGTGATATCCAAGCTTACATCTCTGCCTCTCCCCCACCCCATGTGGATTACCCCTCACCGTCCTGAGGCTCTGATACTTCATGCTGGGCCACCCCACCCCTGGTCTAGATCTCTTCTTCGCACCCTGTTTGGGCTTTGACTATTCATGCTGGCATCTTCCCAACATAGATGTCCTCCTTACTCTATTTGGCTCTGGCCCTTCATGTTATAAGTGCCCCCTCTGCACTGTGTGGTCACCTGACTCACTCTTTTGGGGTCTGATACCTGTGCCAAGCTGCTCCCATGATGTGGACACCCTCTCTGCCCCACTCAAGCTCTTACACCTCATTCCAGGCCAGGGGCCAGACTGCTCCCTCTTGGCTCCCACTGGTATAGAAGCCCTACCTTTAGGTTGGACCTCTTTATGAAAGGGAGGAAAGAGGAAGAGTCCAAATAACTCCTAAATATGTGTATTCTAAAGAGTATCTTTGCTGAATTTTGTTGAATTAGAGAGAAGATCAACCTGGAGGCAATATATGTGTGGTTTTAAATGCTGCTGACTATGCTACACAGTTCTTTGTGGGGAGAGTCAGTTATGTCTAGTTGTAAGCCCCTTTAAGACTTTGCTTTGGACATATTAATTTTCTAAAGTTTGGCTGGAGCAAAGATCGTATGTGTTGGGGTAAACAGGAAGAGTAATCAAGTAGAGCTCCCTTATACATCTCATCTTATTTTGTCCTTTATTTGTTCCTCAAAATACATTGTTGTACAGATTGGCCCCAGGGTTCCAAATTACAGAAGATTTTGAGTCTTCAAGACTAAGGCATTTGCTCTTTCACTTAAAGTCAATAATGGTAGGTCACTGAATGTGTTTGAGCAGAGAAGAAGCATGAGGTTGTGAGGAAAACTTTAATTTCTAATTACCAAATTGAAAAAGAAATCATGAGTACATTGTGCATCTTAACTTTTCACAGGATGAACAGTATGAAAGAGACTGTTTTATAGTTAGGGTGCTAATAGACAAGCTGGCTTATTAGCTTAAATAAAGTATTTACACCATTTAGACAAATCTGCCTCAGTACCATGCCCTGACTTACTGCTATCACAGTATTCAATAAATAATTACTCCTTTTATACTAAGTATAAGGTACAATATAATAAAATGTAATTCTCATCTGGAGTAACCGACTTTATTTAAACCAGAAAAAAATTTACATTATTCAAAATTCCTTCTCATATTTAGAAGAATGACTATTAACCCAATATTTGAGCATTTGATTTTGGATAAACACTTTCAGCACAGTTTAATTACTGCAGAACCTAAGATATAATGGTGAAAGGGTTACTAATGTTTTAAAGGGTAAAGGTAAAAGTTTGCAAAGACGGAAACTGTGGAAACTGTGTTGCTTGCATGACATTTGCTCAGCCTTTTGTTGAGTACAGATAAGGTTTATCTGAATTATCCACAAGGCAATGGATAATCCAGCAGATGCACCCACGTGCCTGCAATAAAGCCATTTTGCTCTGCACTGGCCTTGTGTTGTGGATGTGATCTCCCGCCAGCTCAGATCTTTTAAATGGGACTTTACTTTTCAACAGATGGTCTGGAGAACGCTGCCAATGTGCTTGTAGGTAGAATCAGACAGTTCTTGGCATCATCCAACAACGGACATCAGAGCCTGCTGGGGCCCCAAGTGTCAGCCTCCAGTTGCCCTTAGTGGATGAGAACAAAGGTAGGGTAGGGAGACCAAGGGCAGAGGACACAGACAGCTAGGCAGAGGTCACTGGAAAGGGAGAAGGAAGCCTAGGGGAGCCCGAGGGAGAAAGGGGAGCGGTGTTGGAAGTGGAAGAAAGGAAGGGGAGGAAGAGAAAAGCAGTTGAGAGGATATGTGATAAGGTTATCAAAAGATGACATTGATGATCAGAGGAAATATGGAAAGAATGTTTAAGAAAACAAAGGAAGATATTGCATACACAACAGTTTGGAGACAAGGAGATATTTTATTGCTTAAATTTAAAATATTCTAAATTTCAAGGAAGAACTTTCTGAGCTGTGGACCATGGTCAAATCTGAGCAGACTTGTCCCCACGGCCAAGTCTCACAGCCTCCCACTCACACTCAGAGAGCGTCTTCTTATGAAGTGAATGAGTAAGTGAACTTTTGTATTACATTTTAATCTGTGGCTGCATTAACTTCTATAAGAAAACCTTAGATCACATTGTCTTAAGCTCATATAACATATTTAAAGGCCTTTAATACATGTATTCCTTAGTCTTTACAATATCACTCTGAGGTAGAGAGGAGACCTGCAGTTTAATCCCCATTCTACAAAAACAAAATAAAAATAAAACATGGAATTAAGTCAGATACACACAAATTCTAGAGTAGGGTGATTTGCCTTAGCTGTCCTGATTTTATCAGGGGTAATAAGACTAAGCTAATTCCATAAATTGTGACTGAGGAAAATATTTAAAGTTGTCCAGTTTGGCCAAATGAAGGCACATGTCCAACTTAATCCCAAATTCAGAGCTGTAAAAATTATGCTCTGGTTAGCCTTTTAGTTCTATTTCTCTTTATCTGACCATTTCCCTTTGGGCTGAAGATTAGCCAATAATTGCTATTATCTATTGACAGCATTATTTTTGCTCATAAATTTTGGCTAAAAAAGTGACATTCCCACAGATGAATATAGTCAAGAGCTCCCGGGGAGAACCTGCCTCTTCAATCTGGCCTCCAAGCCTGAAAGCTCTTCAAGGATCCTGCGATCCTGGGTGTGAGTGTGACACCATAAATTCGGGAGCCAGTGAAGCCTGGTATGAAGCCTTAGGCACCCTGGGGAGAGAGAAAAGGTCAGATGACACATTTCTTGCCTTTAGGGCACTTCACGGGGCTCATAAAATTGGCTGCTCCTTCTTTTTAAAACTTGCTTTTCTTCAGCTTTTCTGATTTCTAGGGAGTGTTCTTCTTCTGGTTTCTGTTTCTTTACACTGTTGTGTTATTTGCTCATTTTTCTTTTCAATTATTGAACTAAGCAAACCCTAGAGTATTGCAAATCTATATTTCCCTCAGAAAAGAATGTGCTCATTTAGCCAATGCGTTAATATTCCACTGGCCTTCACAACAGAATAAGCAAGACTTTCAAAGGTAACGTTGTTCTTACAAGGCATTTAAAGTAAATTCTGTGGTTTTATAGCCCAACTGGAAGTGAAATCTTCCCCAGAAATGCGGCAGTGCTGGCGAGCTCCTCGGAGCCAAGGTGACAACGCGGAGGAACAGGGCTCGGAGTAGTAAATGCGACTGAAATACAAATAACAAAGCATGTGGTCCTGTAGGCTCCCAAAGTGTTGGAAGACAAAGCTGTCAGCAAACTACATTATAATATACAAAGAAGGACGCCAAAAGTAGCCGCTAAATTATGTGTTTTTCCGTAGCCACGCAGCTATCCTGGCACTTTGGTTTTTGTTTTTCAGATTTTCGTTCTTTATTGCCTGTAATTTGGCATGAGCTGTGAGCCTCTGGTGCTCCTCCAGCATGGGGCTGAAGAACTGCTGCAGCTGAAAGACAAAGAGATGGTCAGGGCAGGCCAACTTCTCATTTAGACAAAACAAGACAGTCCACGCTAAGTCACAACATGAGTTTGCAAACAGCCAATGACAGTTAGAATGGGTAGAAATGTGTGAAGACCACTTGGCCTGAAGAATCAGATGTAGACTGGACGTCCCATGAAGTGGGAACTTCATCTATTTTATTCACTGCTCTATTCCCCATGCACCTATTAGGTGCTCAGTACAGATTTACTGAATCCATACTGGATATGAGGCAAGATTTGTGAAGAGAGATACAGTGAGATCTTTTCTTATCTCCAAATATACTTGTCAACTTTCAAAGCTCAAAACTGGCATGCAACATCTCTGTCTTTACAAATGTTATCCTTATCTAAAAATATTTAGATCGTGGATTTGTCCATTGACTAAATTCCTCCATTGAGTCAAATGAAGCATTCAGTTATAGGAATATACCCAGTATCATATACAAGGCAGACCCCAATTGACCAATTAGTTATATTCCAAGTCTATTTCTCCATCAATGAGTTAAAACTCAGAACACGTGAGATGACCGTGTACCCATGCCAGCTCATAAAATGTCCCTTAAACCCTAATGAACTTGAAATTGAGTAGTAACAGGGCTATCAAGGCTAATAGTGATGTAAAAGAAAAGGAAGGTTCTAGGAAAAAGTAGTCTAAGGAACCAGAACAAACCTCCCACCCTCCTCCACACCTGGCCACACCTGCCAGGCAGTGGGAGCCACATGCCCGCAGCCCCATAGGATTGTGCACCTGCAGTGGGTGGGAAGGGAGTAAGGGCCTGTGCATTGCAGGTGGGGTTTCATATGTGCTTGAGAGCATGAGTGAGGCCAGGCTCCAGCGGGGTAGAGGTTAAGAACAGAGCAAAAGAAGACAAGAGTGTGCAGAAACTGTCTGCTACAGAGGGAGAAGGACTTTCTTTTCATCCTCTTTTAGTAATTATTTTCAATATTATTATGTGAATTAATAGGTTTTTGGCAAAGATATTTATCATAGCTAACTTGTTTTCAAAATTGTAAAAATTTCATCACTGTTAAATCCACTTTTACTTAAAAAAAAAAACAACTATCAGTAACTATAGAGTATTGGTACTTTGAGGACTGCTAAATTTATACAACCTTCATTCATTCATTAAACAACAACAAGAAGAAGCCCGGGCCAGTATGGCTCAGTTGATTGGAATGTTGTCCTGGACACCAGAATGTGGCGGGTTCAATCTCCGGTTGGGGCATGTGCTAGAGGCAACTGATGGATGTTGTTTCTCTCCCCCCCTCCCCCACTTCCTCTCTAAAAATTAAAAACAAACAAACAAACAAACAAACCAATCACAACAACAGCCCTGGCTTGGTTTGGTTCAGCAGTTAGAGCATTGACCCGCAGACCAAAGAGTTGCAGGTTCGATTCCAGTCAAGAGCATGTACCTCGGTTGCGGTTCATCCCCGGCCCTGGTCGGGGTCATGCGGGAGGCAACCAGTTTATGTGTCTCTCTCACATTGATGTCTCTCTCTCTCTCTCTCCCTCTCTACCTGAAGATAAATGGCAAAAATATACATCCTAGGGTAAGGATTGAAAAAACAAACATACAACAAAACTTGACTGGGTTCTGCAGAGATAAATCACAAAGATAAACTGATAACTTTAGAAGATACAACACAAACTCAGCCTTGGATTCTAGGAGCTTCCCTTCCAGCATTTCTGGGTGTGCCCTTCATTCCTTGTCCAGGGAATCCCTAATAAATCAGGTCCCCGCAGCTCAGCTTCAGGCAAGCCAATCAAAGATAATTCCTTCAGGAATTAGCAGTTCTTCCTCTCTCTCTCTATCACAACTGCATAACTGACTGCTTCTCTTTTTCTTGCTCAGGATCAAATTTCAGGCCTTTATGACCTAAGCATTTATTTGTTCACTTGCTGGGGCAGGGAAATTGATTTTCCTTTCTTATTTACAAGCCATTTCTATTTTTATTAATATAATTCTAGGCCATGGTTAATTTGTCCTCACGTATTTCTAAAAATTTGTAACCAATTTATTGAGATAAAATTTATGGACAATAAATTGTATCCACTTAAAGTGTACAAGTTGAGTCTGGATATTTGTATACGCTTGTAAAACCGTAGCCACAGTCAAGATACATTTCCATCGCTCACATAAGTTGCTTCATGCCCTTTCCAGGCCATCCCTCCCTCCCGATGTCCCGGGCAACCACTGATTTCCCTTTCATTACTATAGATCAGTTTGCATATCCTAGAAAGTGTCTGGTCTCTTTTACTCAGCACGATCATCTTGAAATTCATTCATGTTGCCACATGAACTTGTTTTTTTTCTTGTGGGGTAGTATTCCGTTGTATGGCTATATCACATTTTCTGTGTTCATTCACCCATTCCAGTTTAGATGGTTTCCAGTTTGGGGCTAGTGTGAATAAAGCTGCTATGAACATATTTGGGTGGATGTAGGTGTCCCTTTCTTTTGAGTAAAAACCGAAAAGTGGAATTGTTGGGTCATGTGTGTCTAATTAACATTAAAAAAATACTGCCTGTTTTTCAAAGTCATTGTGCCATGTTACATTCCTACCAGAAGGGTAAGAGAGTTCCAGTTGCTTTGTGGCTTTGCTAACCTTGGGCATTGTAAACCTTTCTAATTTTACCTGTGCTGACGGGTGTGTAGAGGTTGTGTTTATATTTTACCTTTGCTTTACTTTGGGCGTGTGTGGCTTTTTTGCAGACATTTGCTTTTGCCCTTCAGTTTACCTTGTGGTTATAGTATTCCCCTTTCCTTTCCAGAGCTACCCGTCCCCTATCCTGGTGCCTGTGGTTTGGGTGGGGCTGGTTCCAAATATGGGTACATGACCCAGGGCACGCCAGTCAGAGTATTTTATTTCCCCTGGACATGGTGATTGGTGCATGTGACCCAAGTAGGGCCAACCAGAGTCCTTCCTTCAGGGCTGGAACTTGCAGCTGGGTGAGAAAGGATTCCTTCTTCTACAACTAAGGGTGCTAAGGATCATGGAAGCCTGGACCTATGCTTGCCTCCATGTGGAGAAAGCCTGCCCAAGAAGAAATTCATCCCAGAGGAAAGCAGAGACTAGAAACAGCAAGCCCCATGTTATGTTCCAGAATATGGATATAATTAAAATATGGTCTCAGTCCACAGGGAACTTATTTTAGCCTCATGGAGTAGATGTATTCATACACTGATTACACTATAATGTGGTAAGTGTTATGATAGAGATATTGATACAATGATTTGAGACTATGGAGGAGAAAAGATTTTAAATCAGTTCATAAAAAATCCCTAGAATAGGAGGTTGGAGCAGGGTCTTAAAGAATTAGTAGGAATTAACTAGTCAAGGACAGGGCTAGGGAGGGTGCCCCAGACAGAAGGTAGAGAGTTTCTAAAATCTAGAAAATGTGGAACAACGTGATAATTTTAGAAAATCTGTAAGTGGAAGAGTATAGCTGGAGAAAAAGTGTTTGGGGTGTCTGTCTCTCTTGCTTTCTGATTCTCAGTGGTGAGCTGGCCAAAAATGAAGCTACAGAATAAGGCAGGGGCCAAACTATTGAGGGTTTTGTGTGCTAATAAAAAGATCTGAAAATTTCCTAAAAACTGATAAGCTACGAAAGCTTTGGGAGCAGGACAAGGGCTGGCAGCAATGTGAAGAGTAGATGGAGGCAAGACCAGCCTGGGGCAGGGAGCCTGGGCCAGAGGCCACTGCAATAACTCAGATAAGAAAGAATGATGTCCGACCCTCAGGAGCAAAATAGAATCAAAAACATTTCATGTGCAGTTACAATAGCATCAATGGGAGTATAGAATGTAATAATTCAGATACGCTATTATTTTTAATTTTAGAAACTTCGAATGACACAAAAAAAGTAGCTTCCCAACTATTATTGTAATTCACAATATTTAAAGTACTTACCTCCATGATCTGTAAATCTGTGCTTATGGTTCTCCCTATTATATACATCAGTGTAACCAGTGATTGTGTTCCATATCTGCAAAGCAACAAGATGCTAATCAGGTTTGGAAAATGTTTTGCAAGACAAAGCTATACTTTATTTGCCAGATAAATGCTAAGTATATAGCCCCTTTTAATTTCTATGTCCCATATCTAAGAGAAAACATGTATAACTAGTTTACCTTCATCTTTCAATAGAAAATCTATTATATAACAAATTCTAGCCCTGAATGGGTAGCTCAGTAGGTTAGAGCGTTGTCTCAATACATCAAGGTTGCAGGTTCAATCTCCGGTCAGGGCACATACAAGAAACAACCAATGAATCCATAAATAAGTAGAACAACAAAATTGATGTTTCTCTCTCTCTCTCTTCCCCTCTCTTGAAAATCAATTGAAAAATTCTATTAGCACTAAAAATATTTATACTTAAATATTGATTTGTGTAATTGTTTTTAGTTTACTTAAATGTAAAAAACTCTTCTTAAAAACAATAACAATGGCAACTGTTTTATCTTTTTAAATGAAGTTAAAATAGATGTCACATACCTCAAATTAAGAAAATGCGTAAGGGCGTAAGAAAATATGCAAATTATGCCCCCTAAAAAACAGTAACGACTGTGGGATTGGTTTCAGAAACTCTGACTAAAATACCCTGGAAGCTCATTTAAAATTTTGTATTTGTATGTGCTTTTTAGAGAGAGGATCCATATCATCTGAGATTCTCCAAATGCTGGTGACTGATTACTCAAGGCTAAGTACCCGACTCGACTCTACTCACGTTCCCTTAAACAAGCGTGGTCACTGAAACTTCCCCCTTAGTTTAGTGTCCTTAAATACCCAATGAGAATCATATATTAAAAAAAAAAAAAAAAAAGCCATGAAGTGTTGCTGTAGAGAAAGAGCAGATACATACCTGCCCAAAGTGGTGCTGTGGTTAAAAAAGTAAATAAAGACTTTTGGATGCATTAAGAAAGAAAGAAAATTAAAATAGGGTTAGTATGGACTGACTAATAAATGGTTGAACTGCCTTGATAATTAATTCACACAATTGATTTATTTCAAAAATATATACTTGAGATTAAAAATTGCAAGAATTAATGTTGGCATAAGACACAGACAAGAGTAAGAGCAAACAGTGTTTTTGTTTTTTGAAGTTCCCAGCTATAGTGTAAACTGTGTTTACTTGAGTGAAGTGGAGGAAAAGAGACAGTCTACATGTGATTCAGACAAGCAGACTTGTTTCTATGGGGAAAGTGGAAATATTTCTTAATTCTTCATTTTTATTGGCCAAGTATGAAAAGTCTGTGAGATGACTCAAGAACTTGGTAAAATTTGCAAAGAAACCAAGTTCCAACCTTAAAAAAAAAAAAAGTGGAAAACTACTTAGGGTGCTAAATGTGTGATTTTCTACCAGATCCAGGAGAAAGGTTACAACAAGAGGCAGGGCTCAATTTGAAGTTACCATGAACAACTTATAAATTGCAAAAATAGGGAATAACAAAAAGTTAGATGCATTGTTCTGGAGAGTAAAAGAGATCATGTATGTGGGGGCATCTATCAGAGTACTTGGCACACAGCATTCCTTCCTCATCTTGCAAGAGTTAAGAGGAGATATTTTTGAGACAGAGAAGATTTGTTACTCTTGTTGACTGAGCAATCTCTTTGAAATATTACTGATAAAAATATATACTTTACAAGTAGTTTATTATACCAGTAGTCAAATGCATTCTAATTAATATAAAGATAAGAGTCAGTGGGTATCAGCATGGTTGCCCTTTTAAATATATTATAACAGTCAATGCTAGTGTGGACACAGTGATATGGGTACTCTAGTCTGGCTTGCCTTCTGCCTCTTTCCTTTTTCACATTTGCCCTCCTCTCTGCTCCCTTCCCTGCCATGTCTGACTTCCTGTGGCAAGCATGGCCACTAGGCAAGCATCGGAGCCCAAGGCATCCAGCCCAATGCAGTGACGGGCGGTGGGAATGGTCGACTCCATCACGCAATCCCTTCGTGCTCCTATTTAACCTTTCAACTCTGTGCTCCTCATCATAAAATACAACAGAAAAGAAGTAAACATAAGTGCAGGTTTCAAGCTTAGAACTTTAGGCACTATAACAACATTTGGAGGAGAAATCAAGTGTTTGGTAAAGAAAAGGGTAATATTCATTTCGGACCTGTTGCGTTTGAAACTGACTATACCTTGTATTCTATAAGAAATAAGGGAAGGCTAGGGTTTTCCTGTAGGCTGTGAAATCCACACAGTTTTAAGAAAGTCAAAAGCAACTTAACTAGGATGATAAGGACACAATTATAATTTTTATCACATACAATAAAGTCACAAAAGTCCTATTGTTTCATCTCTATTCACACATTCTTCCATAGAATCTATCCACATCTGCATGTACATATTGATTTTTCTGTAACCTGAAAGATGTCTTTATGGTCAGTGGTGGTTCCTTCATTTAGATCAGTGCTCAACGAATCATCTTTGGCCCAACAGTTAACTACTTACCCCTCAGAGACCAGTGCAGTGCCTGCACATGGGAGTGAGGGGCAGGAACAAGCTGTAGATGTTGTACCCAATCAAATATTCCAAAATATACGTTCAGATTAGGCCTCCTGAGAAGAGTTCCAGGCCTGGTTGAGGGGAGCAGGTGTTCCTGAACTGCTCTTGGCAGCGTGCTCAACTCTCCCACTAGACTTTTCCAGTGCCCCAAGCTCCATCCAGTTATGTGACTAGTACCAGTCACATAAGGTCTGTCTTTCAGTCCTTCCATGTGGAAGGTGACTTTTTCCAACTCTGCCTGTTCAAATCTCACTCAATTCCCGTTCTTCCCTTTGAATCCCCAAAGCCCTCTTCATCCCCGTCTCCACATTCTAATCACTTTATACCCCCAACAACAGCTTAAACTAACTGTGCCTTGGCATATAAAAACCAAACATTTTATTACTAGGAAGAATCTTAGAATTAATCAAATACATGCCTTTCATTTTATAGAAGAGGAAACCAAGGCCTAAATGCTCATCAGCAAATAATAAATAGATGTTCTAGTTATAGTTTCAAATGAGAGGGTTAAAGAACTCCCTTTCTTTCTTTCTTTTTTTTCCTTTTTATTTAATTTATTGGGGTAACACCGGTTAACAAAATTGAACAGGTTTCAGGTGCACAATTCCACAACACATTATCTGTACACTGTATTGTGTGTTCAACACCCCAAATCCAGTGGGGAACTTACTTTCTCCTCTGTCTTTCTGTGGATACAACTGATCTACTAGCAAAGGGACACTTGGTTTACATTAGCATTATAGTGTGTAGCAGGACTGCAGATGTAAGTCTAGGCAAAGTATATGGAAAACTCTAGATTTCCTTTTACAGGGTTTCTTGGAGCCTTTATGATGTTATCATATACTGTGAATTTGCAAAAGTGGAGGTTAAAACAGATGGTTTCCATACTCATTGGACTATTGTCTTCTTAATTAACAGCAGGCTTATCAACATCTTCCCTGCATAATGCTCAGTGGAACATGCTGGAGAAACACTAATTTCAGTACCAACTTGCAAGTGATCAGTTACATTTTAGCAAATTCAGAATAAAACCTTTCCACATTATTAATAAAACTTAATTTGTCATAAGCATGTGTTTACTTATACTTTTATACTACTTTTATTATTATATGAAGATGTAACATGCATATATTCATGTCAAATATAACTGTTTAATAAATGATAAATATTCTGATGTCCAAAGAAGTATGCATTCCTATGCCATTCTTAGTGTATGTCACATTTTAATTATTAATTTTAAATTGTTATTTATTCCTTCTAACAATTCATAAATATTATTGCTGTCTATTTAATCAAAACCATTTACAAAACTCAGAAAGACTGGTGAATATAAACTGACCCCTGAAAATATATGTATTAAATACAGAAAAGACATTTATTTGAATCTGAAAGTCATTTTGTACCAGGCATTAATGAGCTGAAATGAATTTACCATAAACAGAAGAGGCATCTATTTTATGAGCATAGCATCTCGTTTATAAAAGAAAAATATTTAAGCCATGGTTAAAAGTTCACACACTTACAATTTTAGGAACTTCTTGGGGTAAGGATAAGACCCATTTGAAGTTTAAAAAATTACCTTTTGTGCTCTTATTTAATACAGATAATTAATGTAGTTCATTTAAATAAATAGCTAGACAATAGATTTTTCAGAGCGTGCTGCCAATGTGTTCCTGTTCTCTAAATGCAGGGAAATGTTCTTCTGAGAAATAAAAATTAAAACACCCTCAAAGTCTTTTAAATTAAGAGCAATCTTTCTCATGCGTTGCTCAAAGCCATTTTCAGGGCTTAATTGGCACATGTGATCTGAAGGAGGTAAGAAGAGAGGGGAAACCGAACTGAGGGCTGGTGTACCCTGAGGGCAATGCCACCCAGTTGAACTTCCTGTGATGATGGACGTGTTTGATATCTGAGCTGTCTAATATGTAGCTACTGCCCACAATCAACACTTAAAACAGGGCTAGTGCAACAAAGAAGCTGCACTTCAAATTTTATTGAACTTTAATTTAAATTTAAATATCCACATGTTAGCTAGTGGTTATCATGTTGAGCAATGCACCTTAGATAGCTTTTTAATTCTACTGGAGTCACCTGGGGAGCTAGTGAAAGGTACAGATTTCCTGCCCTATTTGGGCAGATTCTGAGTTTAAAGGGTTAGGTGGGCTTGGTGGTCTTAGGTCACTAGCCCCTGCAGGTGATTCTGAAGCTCTGCCACATTAGGAAGCGTCTGGTTTGTGCCTACAGTAAATACGGCCTGTGGCTGACAGGTGCCATGTCCCCTTGAGCTACAACAACACTACACAACAATCCTTAACACTTGCAGTCCTGCACACCAAATGCCAGGCACTAGGAAGGACGAGGCCTGGAAGTAATTGTGAACGTGTGTCATCCTTGGGCCCAGCAGTGCTTCAGAAGCGATGGAGAACATGAAAGCCTATGATGATCACAAGGCCCTCGGGCAACTCATGACATAGTTCTCAAAGAAACTGTTCTTTCAATATTTTAATTCCAAAATCACTACTAGGTTGTTCAGCAGGAAGTTCTGGAAGAAAACAGTCAAGGACTGTAGCTGTAGTGAATGACCTTGGGCAATATGACCAGGACAAGAGGGCAGATGGCTTCTCAGACCTGCAAAGCCAGGTATTTCAGACCTAGAGTGAACATGGGGAGAGAGCTTCTGTTACAAGCTCCAGGGAGAGAGAACAGAAACTGACAGACAACCCTAGGTGATTGGCATCTCTGAGACCTCATGGAACAAGGGACCTATGGAAATAATTCTGATTTATGTCCCAAGTACCAAATTCCCAGTGAGAAGTAGAACCTAGGAAGGAGGGGATTATTTTTAATGATTTAAGCAAAAATGAAAACACCATTTACCCCCAAGGTCTTAGGGATCTCAGGAAATTTAAGGAATTCATGAGGCCCCCTGAAGCAATAAACCTAAAATGATAAATAATTTAAAACAGGAGATAGACAATTTTCTCAGTATGTGAATAGGCTATGTATATTCCACTGATGAGTAAATGGTACTGTACAAATAAACTTTTATCTACACATTTTTCATTTCTGATTTAAAACTACATTATTTTTGGTGTCGTAAAGGTGTTCAATAAATGTCCACAGTAAAACCAATCAAACAAAAAAATACTACCCCATTGCATTATTTTGCTCTTTAAGAGAACCTTATTCACATTTTTAAACATTTTCATTCTAAACACACTTTCTGTTTCAAAACCTATTTATACAGAGCATCTTCCAAGGGTACAGGTATTTGGACCTGAACTGTTGGTTACCTTGTATATGCTAACTCTACAGTATGTGATTATTAGGAATGTATGGTTAAGTAATGTTTTAGAAAGACCAGCCGTCCAGGGCATGCTGTCTGATATTCGCATGTCAATGTATACTTTACTCAATAGATGGGTTAGGAAGCAAGCAGTTTAACCTTAAATTATGAGAACTATTTAAAAAGTTCAAGAATATGGAATCTAGATATATAAAGGGAATCTTACAAATAAAACACATGAGCGACATCCAGATGTAATAATAAACACTGTTATTTCATAAATATATGGTGATGTACTTCACAAAATAAATAAATGGATGATGCACATGCACACCAGAAAAAAATCACTTGCTCTAATCTGTTTCAAACTTCTTAGCAGGCACAGTGGGAAAATTATGGTATAAAACTATTCCATGCAAATCCATTTTCATTCAGAAAGCCAAAACAGATAAGTGACCTTCTCTTCCACAGCACAGCCAGTGTGTGGTGAGACTAAATACAAGAAAAATCACCCCCTTTCTAGTCGGTGCAAAGGACTTTTGTGACCTAGCCAGACTGGATCTGTGCTCCTAGCACAAACCATGACCTCAATGAAAGAGCGATCCCACATCTCCTTCTTACCTCTCACTTACAGCTTGCCAATGGTTGACTAAAAAGTCTCTTGCGACATACCGGCCAACTTCAGATGCTGCCACAATGTCAATTACATTTGTTTCATTAAAATCAAACAGAGATGTAGTGATGGCATATTCCATATATCTGCAAAAATGCATTTGCACATTAATATGTAAAAATTATCCAACATAAAAAGTTAATTTAAATAAGTGGAATCAAAATCCCATATGATTCTAAATTAATGATGCACAAATATTTATTAATTCTTATCTTAGCACAGTGCTTCCTTTTGGTTTATTAATTGCTTTCTTCCACCAGTAACTTTCGTTTTTTTTTTTGTTTTGTTTTTTATCCTCACCCGAGGACATTTTTTGATATTTTGTTCAGATAGAGTGAGAGGGAGAGAGAGAGAGAGAGAAACATCGACGTGAAAGCGACACATCGAGTGGTTGCCACCCACACGACCCAACCAGTCCACCAGTAACTTTCAAGGTAAGTTGACCATAATCACCTGTTAAGTATCCATGGGTGTTTACTGCAGCTCATTGCATAAACAAGTTGAAACTTTTCTTCTGCCTTTGTGTTATTAGTGTAGATATTTAACAAAAAGTCCCATTCTTTATCACTTCCCAAGGCAATGCCATAACATAAAATCACAGTTTTAATTGGATAAGGTATTCTGTAAAGTATAACATGCAATGATATTTCTCATAGCAGTTAAGTTATATGTTTACCTAGGTTGTCATATATTTAGAATTATATATCTAGAAAAACAACATTGAGATCTCAGATATAAAGATCAACAGTAGGGATTTAGAAAGGCAACTGTGGGACCTGTCTTTAGTGTTACTATCATGAGATGAAATCGTCATATTAGTTCAGAAACTAAGGGGTAAGGGAGAAGTAAATTAGAATAGTACAAACAGTAGGTATATGCTGATAATAAGTTTGGTTTCATATCTTATTATCACATTTCCTAAATGTCCATCTGAGGTGATATATTACAGGTAATATAATAAAACCAAAATAACAGAGTCTTAGTCTCAGCTCTGAGAGAGATGACGAAATCATAGAGGAAAAAGCTGCTCTGATATATATAATAAAGAAGAACCTAAATAAGACTCAAAATAAGCACCAGTGCTTATAGGAATGCACCGGCAATGAGAGGTCCTGGGTGACTATCACTGTATAAATTCCCATCTATTGTTATGCACAGACCTACATTAGACAATTGCTGTTTTGTTTTGTTTTAAACAATACTTGAAAAATATAGTAGGAGAGAGAAATTAACCAAGTGAAAGCAAAACAATCACTTCCAGAGTGAGAGTATCAAAAAGGTAAAGAAATTGTTGATGTGGAAACAGGACAAAAACAAGGGCAATTCCAATATCACTCTTACTCATTCTCTGGATGGTTCATCCAGTTTTTGAAGAGTTCTCTTGACAGCTGAAGACAGTCCTCAAGGCCCAACAAACATACAGCCTCAAAAAGTTTTTCCAGTGATATTCTTGAAGGAAAAGTCAAAGAAAAACATTTTATTTTGCATTACCACTTTTTTTTCCCCTCCAAGAATGTTTCATAAAAGAATGGGTATTGAGAAACATCCTTCCAGCCCTGGCCTGTTTGGTTCAGCGGTTAGATCGTCGGCCTGCAGTCCAGAGAGACCCAGGTTCAGTTCTCGCTCAGGACACATACATTGGTTGCAGTTTGTCCCCGGCCCTGCCCTGGTTGGGTCATGTGGGAGGCAGCCACTTGATGTAACCCTTTCACATCAATGTTTCTCTCTCTCTCTCTCTCTCTTTCTCTCCCTCCCACCCTCCCACTCTATCTAAACAAAAAATGTAAAAATGTCCTCGGGTAAGGATAAAAAAATAAAAACATCCTTCCAATAACATTAAGTTTGCTTATAAAAAAAAAAAGAAGAAGAAAGAAAAAGAAAAAAGCTTTTTGGATAACAAATGTGTTTAAGATTCAAAGAAATATTTCTGAGAGGCTCTCAGGCACCAAATAAGCCCCTAACACGGGAATTTTTTGAAAAGTTAGAAATAAATGACTGCCATCCTTCATCTCCCTCAGTCACACACAGTGTACACACACTCCACATCTGCTATCAATTTATTTTTCCTCGCTTTTACAATAATTGCCTTGTGAATAAAAAATGACTTTAGAGTATTTGATCCAATCCTCTTAAAAATAGTTCTTTATACATGGAGAAGAAAGGGAATGGTTTCTCTCTCTCCTTTGGCAATGTGCTTTCCCTTACTTAAGCTTCTGTTTCTTCTTCAATTCCTCCTGGCTCTTATATTTATGGCCAGAAAAAGGATAGGGGTTTTTGTTTTGCTTTTATAGCTAAGAAGGGGTATGTATTACAGTTCAAAACAAGTAAGTTCAAAAGAATACAGTGGAGAACAACAATAAATCCAGGTAAGTGGTGCCTGAGGTGTATCTCCCTACTCTCCCCAAGTTTGGAGTCAGAGGTAAAGGAATTCAAACTGACCACAAGTTACAGAAAATGCAAGGGCCAAATCTCTATTGCTCCCCCCTCTACTTTCAACCTAGCTTGGCCTGGCCTTCTGGTAAGCAGAAGTGGGAAGTCCAAGGGTGAGGGCCCCCTGAGAGACATTCGTTTGTACACACACTCCATCTCTCCACCCATCCCAAGCTGGCTGCAGCAAGGTTGCTCCAAAGAGACCTGGTCTTGGGATGCTACAAAAAGCAGGTCACTTCAGTCCAATTAACTAGTCCAAGGACACGGCTAGTTAACAGGTGTGCTGCTTGACTGAGTACACTTTTGCCTTCCTGTTTATTCACACATGCCTACACATATACTATCCCAACTAGTCCTCCTATCTTCCGTCGACTTGTCCGTTTAAGCCTATGTCCTTCCAGTCACAGGCCCTAGCACTAAAATGTCTCCGCTCTCAGCAGGATACTCGCGAAAGATAATACATTTTGTATACTTTGTACTTCTCGTTTGGTCCAATTGATTTCAGCTTGATTTGACTAGTACTTTAAATCTAACCCCTGTACCCCTGTACCATAGCTGGTTGCAAGCTCCCCAGGTAAATCTGGGAGCCCAGCACACACACACAAACCTGGGTCACAGGGAGGCTGGTGACAGCACAACTACCGTCTGCCTTTCACCCCCTTCCAGATCATCGCAACGACGTGCTTACCCCCTCACCAAACCAATGATGTGAAAATCATTAGTAACATGATTTTCACACAGTGACTGGTATATTTCATCAAGCTCTCCCATCAAATTTGCACAGTGGTAGAAATCCTGTCACCAATGACATACAGAGAAAACCCTTTTCCCCTGCCGTCTTCCCACACCCTTCAATTCATTGGCATAGGCTGACCTTTGCTTAGCACAACCCTTCACCAATAGTATGACATACTTACAATAGCCTAAGATTTGAGAATGTAGAGCTAAAAATTCCTGTATATACACATATGTGCTTTGCAGATAAATTAAGATTCTAAACTATTATTTCCTGTGAGGGTACGTGTAGCTCACGAATCTCAAAGCTACTGATCTAAAATAGCATACAAAATCTCTCAGTGAGTCATAGGCATTAAGATCTTATGTAAATCTGAAGCCTATTTTAATATTAATCATTTATGCAATTATTACTGTTCAAAAAATACTTACAAGGCTAAATAGTCATCTTGCAATGCTGCCACATTTTCACAAATTATAGTTGAATAAATATTCCATATTGATGTAAGTCTCTTTAATAGATACTTCTATCAACAGTAAAGAAAATATACTGTTAGTTCTGGTTCACAACACTGAATTTGCACTGTATTTCTCTTTATCTGAAAAGACATTAATAGTGACAGATATTTCTTCAGAAATGGTTTTTATTTGTTAGTAATGTGTGATTGGTTTCTTTTTAACCTTCATAGGTTCAGTTTTCTCATACAAAATATGGTGTTTACAAAAATACCATTATTATAGTTTTGTGTAAGCCAAATAATATAATGTATGTAAGCAAACTGCCTGGCATATAAATAAATAAATGTTAGCTATTATTATCATTTAATATCACCTCATCTATTTCTGGTTGTCTTCAAAAATGAAAAATTCAAAACTATTAAACTTTCTACCTTAAAACGTCTACGATATACATATATCTCCAAGAAAATAAGGAGAACTGATTTATGCCTCGGACAAATTTAAGGTATGTGTCTGAAATAAAGTTTCTTCAATTGAGCTATCGGCTAGTAAATAATAAAATTATAGAAGTTACATGTTTAAAATACATTCCTGAGGTTAAACTAGATATTATTCATGAAAGTTCTTTAAAAACAAATATTAGTTTTTACTTATTTATGCAAAACCAGTCATCAGATATAATCAATGAGCCCCCTGGATCCCACACATATTTACATGCCTCCTCTTGGTCACCACCCCCACATTCAAGTAAGTTCCCATCGGCACTTTGGGCAATAGAGCACAGAGACTGCAGACCCTGAGGTGTTTGTGGTCTTGCTGTCAACCTGCCCCAGAAACTCACTTGGCGTCATTATCACGGAACCGACTTCCTGCTTTGTCCGTGGCCCTTGACCCTCTGAAGGGCTGCTCCCTACCTTTGCTTTGATTTTACCTGTGCCATCTTATGATCACCGTGTAAAACCTAACAAGAGAACTTTTCTCTTTTTATGTTGTTTCAGTTATTATAGTATGTTATTTCTTCACTCAATTATAATTTCCTTCTCTCTCTGCACAACATCAAGAGCAACTTTGAAACTTTCACTTTTTCTGGAACATACCTTTCTGGTTTTAAGTGCTGGCCCTGTAAATCAGAGTATTCAATTGCAAATACAGGATTGTTAAAAGTCATTCTGTTGGAAAATAGTTACTAATGCATACTATCCTCTTCTGTAAGAAAAAAGGCATACCATTTCTATCTACTTCTGGTTTCTTAGGACACAGTGCCTCTTCTACAAGAATTAAGTACCTTTCCAAACTTCTATCATACGCATCTCTTGGACCAGGTTTATGACTTAGGGTATTTTCTTTTAAAAATAATGAGTCACACCTAAAAAAATGAATATATATGGAACTAATATAATAGACTGTTACTTTTGGAAAGGCCTGCTTCACAGATGCTCTTCAGAACACAGAAAGAGGAAGAATGGGTTTTTTAAAACCACATAACAAAGAATGAAATTACCTTTAATAATGTGTATATATCATAGTCGCTCACATCAGAAACAACATTCCTGGGTAGCAGGTTCACCAGAACTGCATGCCATACTATGATTTCGTCTTCTTTAGCAAGGTACTTGGTTAAATCAAGTGCTGTTTCGATCTCAATATAATTGTTTCTGTTTGGTTTAAAAACACACACTAAAAAAAAACTTCACTTGCTAAATGATTTGCACACTGTCCATATTTTTTCCATGCTTTAATGCCTGACTTCAACAAGTTATGTGAAATCAAGAAGTCAGAGGGTAAAGGCCCCATCTTGTTAATAAGATGAGAACCAAGCAATGTTTACCAACCCTCAGTTTCAATTTGGATATTTAAGTACCCAAATTCCCGGAGGCTATAGAAAATCTAGGCCAAATATTGACCTCATTATGGGGCAAAGAAATATTTGTGCATTTAGTATGCATTCTTATGAGAGTATAATTCCCATTCAACAAATATTAATTAAAGGTCATACTCTAATGTTCTGCCAGCACAAACTAGAACATAGGACAATACTTTTGCCTACCATTGAGGAGCTTATCGCTCCAGTGTGGAGCTGAGATTTGTGAATAAGTAGCTGTTAACAAAAGGTCCTAAAAGAGGCAATGAATATAGTAAATTAGCAAAAAAGGAAAACATGCATGTGATGGAAAAGTAGACAAAGGCCTTCTGGAGGAGGAATATGAGAAGAACAATGAAGAATGGGTAGGATTGAAATGAGTAGTGAAAAAGAAGATAGCTTAGGACAAAGAAGATAAATGGGAATTGATATGATGGGCAGACCAAGCTAACTGAAGCAGAGGATTTATTTTGTGTATAGTTGAAAGGTGGTGCCTCATAAGAAAGGTGGATCAAAATCGTGGAGAGCCATGAATGTCAAGATGAAGAGTGTACATGTGGTGGGAAGGTATTTAGACAACTGGGTACCATCATGAAATTGATGCCTAAAAATTTAATTGCAATTGTGCTGGAGAAGATAGAATGGAATTCAGGGGAACTGAAGGCTAGAAGCTAATGCAATAGACCAAGCAAAAGATGATGAAAGCCTGGCTTAGTGTGGAAGCAGTGAAGGTAGTAAGGTGAGAATCCAAAAGACTTTCCCTAGAACGAATAGGTAAGATATGATCATTATTTGGAAGATGTGGAGGAGTTCAGGATATCTCTAATGTTTCAAGTTTGGGTGATGGGAAGAATAGTGGTACCTTTGACAGAGAAGAGATGACAGCAGGAGCAATTTAGAGACAGAAATAAAGTTCAGTGTCCCAAGTGCTGAATTTGAACAATGACAGGATAAACAGAAGACAGGAAGAGACAAGTAGAGATGTAAATGTAGAAATCATCAACATATCTTCCACAAACATTATTGAGTACCTTATATCTTCTAGGCACTGTACATGTACATAATAAAATGATCACTGAAATTTAAAAATGCATGTGTTGCCCTGGCCAGTTTGGCTCAGTGGTTAGAGAGTTGACCTGCAGACCAATGAGCCAAGGGTTTGATTCTGGTCAAGGGCAGAAACCTCAGCTGCAGTTTGGTCCCCGGCCCTGGTTGGGATCATGTGGAAGGCAACCAATCTATGTGGCTCTCTCACAATAATATCTCTACCCCCTCCCCACCTTCTCTCTCTCCTTCCCTCCCTCCCTCCCACTCTATCTGAAGATAAATGGAAAAATATCCTTGGGTGAGGATTTTTTTTAAATGCATGTGTTATCCAAAGGAAAGATAGAAAAAAATAACATAACCATTGCTGGTCTTGAGGATGCTCACAGCAGCAGGAAGAAGAGAAGTCAGACACATGAGTAGAACCAGGTTTGCAGAATGGAGTCTCAGGAAGCCAAAATAGAAGTTTCCAGGAGGTATGGTCAACAGTATCAAAGTCATGGTAACCTCAGAGAAGAGTTTCAACAAAGCAGTGAGCAAGGAAGTATGCTGCAGGTCACAGAAGGAAAACGTAGTAAAGAAATGAAGAATAAAATAAACAGGCATTCATTCAAGAACTATGACAAGCCAAAGAAAGAGGGAATACACTAGATAAATTACTATGTATACTCCTTATTTTATTGTCTGAACATTTAAATTCTGAACATTTATTAATTTACCTGGTTAAATACTTACCAGCAGCAAGTATATGTATATATGTGTGTATATATATATACATATATATGTGTATATGTATATATATTTATATATATTATTTATATAAATGATATTGAATAAATATAATATAAATAAAATCAATAGTTTTGTAATACGTTAAAACACATGCCATATCTCATTATACTTATACCTATAGCCATCACCCGTGGGCAACATAAATCACTTCAAAATGTCAGTTCACAGTCTATTTATTTCCAGGAACTTGTTTCTTAAATGTCAGTTACCTTATTTCTTTAACCCTCAATATCATAGAAAAATATGGACACATCTATAACCTTCCTAAATTTATCCATTTTAACACTTTACTAGAGTTTACAAAGGCAAACCTGTATCACTTGCAGTTTAGCTAAATTTTTACTCCTGATTGATATTTTAAAAATGATGATTCTTGCCCTGGCCAGTTTGGCTCAGCGTTTAAAGCGTCAGCCTACAGACCAGAGAGTCCTGGGTTCAGTTCCCACTAAGGGCATGTACCTCGGTTGCAGTGTGTCCCGGCCCAGGTTGGGGTTGTATTTATGGCAACCACTCAGTGTGTCTCTTTCACATTAATATTTCTCTCTCTTCCCCCCTCTCTCCCTCCTGCTCTGTCTGAAGATAAATGCAAAAATGTCCTCAAGTGAAGATAAAAAAAATAAATAATGATTCTTGCCCTGGCTGGTTTAGCTCAGCGGTTAGAGCATCAGCCCTTGGACCCGAGAGTTTTGGGTTCGATTTCGGTCAAGGGCACATACCTCAGTTGCGGCTTGGTCCCTGGCCCTGGTGGGGGTCGTGCGGGAGGCAACCAATTGATGTGTCTCTCTCACACCGATGTTTCTTTCTCTCTCTCCCTCTCTCCTTCCAACTGTATTTGAAAAATCAATTTTAAAAAATCCTTGAATAAGGATTAAAATAATAATAATAATAGTAGTAATAGTAATGATTCTTATATTTTTTGTAGTAATCTTATAAATATTTAAACTTTTTTCTATTTATAGCTTCTCTGCCGCATCCTTTGCAAACTTTTCCTTTAAAAGATTCCTCTTAAAACTTCGAATCATCTTTGCTGTTCTTTCAAGACCCTTTAAAAAATTCTTCATATCAGTTTAAATCATATTGCACCAAAGTTAATTAAATTGAAAATATATAGAACTTTGATTATAATTGACTGCCAAGTTTTGACTTGAGAAAGAACATAATCTTCCTCTCAAACTGTTGTAAAAAGCATTGTTTTCTATGGCTTTGTAATTGTAATAGAGATTCTTGCTCTTTCCTAATAGGATTCTTTTTCTTTTTTATTGTGGGAAAATACACATAAAATGTACCACTGTAACCATTTTTAAGTGTACAGTTCAGTGGCATTAAATGCATTCACAACGTTGTGCAACCATCACCACCATCCATCTCCTTAACTCTTTCCATTTGTAAAACTGAAAGTCTATATTCATTAAATAATCTCTCTCTTTCCCCTTTCCCCCAGCCCCTGGGAGCCCCCATTCTACTTTGTGTCTTTATGATTCTGACTACTCTAAATACCTCATAGAAGTGGGATCTTACAGTATTTGCCTTTTTGTGACTGGCTTATTTCACTTAGCATAATGCCCTCAAGTTTCATCCATGTTTATTGCATATTCCAGGAAATTCTATGTAATGAAATTCCATTATAACCACAGAATCTGATCCTAATTTTGATAAGTTAGGGCCTGGACATACTAAAGAACCAACTTCATAGTGATGAAGTTCACAGTGGTAAGTTCTCAAGGTGCAAACATACTCACTTAGACAAGGAAAAGGCATCATCGATCAGCTGCAGTCTGTGAATAACAGGAATAGCCTGCAAATTAGATCCCAATATGTGCAGAAAAGATGAGAACTTTTTTTTAGTAGGAAAAAAATGTAAAAGAATAACATTTAAAGATCATTGCTGCTTACAAAGTACTTTCATGTGAATTATCTCGTGTAGAGAAATGATAAATGTTAAGGGTAGTCCCCATAATTTATTTATTATACATCTGTTTTTGATAAATGATCCCTCTGGACATGAATCATAAAGATTAAATAAGGCTGAGAGTTTTGCCAAAATTCTCCCTGAAAGCAGCATATTAAAAAATAAAAACAGGAAGCCAAGTTTAAAAGACCTCTCCAAAACAGAAAGCGTATATTATATTGTACTACAATGTCCAAATTATTGTCAGAGGGATTTTTTGGAATAGGAGGCCTTAAATATGATTTAGCACTATTTTGGTAATATTGAGGTACTTTTATAAAATGGTATCTCTCTTCTCAAGATATTACTACCTTGACACAATACCACCAATGAGCCTTATGAATCATGAAAAGGCAGAGGTCAACTGCCAACTTAACTCCTTAAGCTTCTGTGTGAGCTCCTTGGCATTGCCAGGCCAGGACTCTGTCTCAGCTTTAGTGTCCTAAGGATGCCCAATGGCTCCCACAGTATTCTTCCAACACCTCCCAGCATTTTCATATATTTGACACTAGAAAATTTATCTTCACTACATTCCTTTGAACATCTGAGGAAGCAAGCTTAATTTTTTCCTGGGTAATAGTCTCATTTTTTTCTGGCACTAATAACATATTTTCTATAGTAATATTAATAATTAAAATATATTTTATTTGCTCACCAATTATGTTGTAGGAATAATTGATCTCAGGCTTTAAATAAGCAAATCTACAATGGTTTCAAGAAATCATTGCTGCAATGACAAGACCTAATGCTTCCAAAGCCAAGAGAGCCCTTAGAAATTAACAAGAATTTAGCTACTCTGAAAAAGATTTAAAACAAAATATCATCATACGTAGTTTTTGTAGCTTTACTCAAAAACATGATAATAATGTTCAAAATTCATGGAACATGTTCTGAATGCCTGAATTGGGTCAGGCCTCTGTTAAACATAACACATGCATCACTTGATTTAATCTTCGCAACAACTCTTTAAGGTCGGTCTGTTACACCCATTAGTGTACAGATGAGGAAACTGAGGCATGACTGGCCAAATAAGAGGCCTAGGTTCACACACCTGGTAAATGGTGAACAAAAATATAAACACAAGTCTACCTGAACCAAAACCCAAGGTCCTGCCCTGGCCAGTTTGGCTCAGCGGTTAGAGCGTCGGCCTGCGGTCCGGAGAGACCCGGGTTCGGTTCCCGCTAAGGGCATGTACTTCGGTTGCAGTTTGTCCCCGGCCCTGGTTGGTCGTGCGGGTGGCAGCCACTCGATGTGTCCCTTCACGTCGATGTTTCTCTCTCTCTCTCACTTCCTCTCTCTCCCTCCCACTCTATCTGTACAAAAAATGGAAAAATATCCTCGGGTGAGGATTAAAAAAAACAAAACAAAACAAAACCCAAGGTCCTGATCAATGTTCTTCTGGTGGAGAGGTTGCTCCGTATGTGTCTCAGAGAACTTTCAAAAAGAGGGAGACCTAAGGCTTCTTTCAGTTCAACACTCTAGTTCAATAAATGGAGTCTCAGTGAACTGCTCAAGGTTTCACAGCTGAGCCCACTCTATAGACTTCTATGCCAGCATCCATTTCCACCAGTGCAGGTAGGGTTTAATCCAGCCAATGAGCATCTTACTGATTAGAGCTACATTTTAATATTTATAGATTGCATAATGATTTGCAATTGTTTCACAATTTAAAGTGATGTTGGATTATTATTGATATTTTGTGGATTCAATTCTCCCCTCCAAGGGAGAGGAAGAATGTAAATTTTAGAAAATGAACATTTTCTAGCATATACTACACACCTATTTTGGGCTTAGAAATTTTAAGTATATATTTACCTACATCATCTCTAATCCTCATGATAAATAAGAAATACATAATATTATTTACATCTTATTATTATTGTTTTTTATCCTCACCCAAGGACATTTTTGCATTTATTTTCCGATAGAGCGAGAGGGAGAGAGGGAGGAAGAGAGAGAGAGAGACATCAATGTGAGAGAGACATATCGACTGGTTGCCACCCACACGACCCCAACTGGGGCCAGGGACAAACTGCAACCGAAGTATGTGCCCTTAGTGGGAACTGAACCCGGGTCTCTCTGGTCCGTGGGCCGACACCCATGTGAGCCAAACTGGCCAGGGCTATTATTTACATTTTAAAGTAAAGAAATGAGAGAACATTTAAGTAACTTGACTAAGATTACAAAATTGATGGTTAATAGGAAAATGTATTCTTATTTTTACCTAGAAATATAAAATTGTTGTGGAAAATTAAACTAATGTTAAAAAATACGAGGGTGTTAATGGGGGGAAAAGGAGAAACATCTGTAACAAAAACAAATTAATAAAAATAATTTTTAAAAAATACAATACATTTATCTGAAATCTCCCCTGTCTAAGAATAAGAAATGAGGGGAGGGTCTTTTCCCATCAGACAGGTTTATAAAAGCTCAACTCTGAAAGGCTAGAGTGCAATATTAATTATATTTAATAAAAGGTATAAAAGTAATCTTACCTTAGGATCTTTTTCAAGCAGTTGATTTAATTTCTTCCAACCTAATTTATCATAGTTAACTCTATAATATCCACTCATATTCAAATTTAAAATCACCCAGTCATGATCAGAATCTGAAACTTGCATTTCAGGGAATAATTCTACAAGGGAATATGTGAAATGTTTGAAATGGTACATTCAAAAAATATTTCAATGTATGTTTATACTATAGTCTCTTAGTTCTAAACAATAAGCCCAATGAAACAAAAATTAAAGGAATTTTAGTATATATATATTTATCTTACCATATAATTATAGTTTTTCACATTAAAAACTTTTGATTTGAAACTTTTCTTTAACTCTCTGTTCAACAATAATGATATCACACTTAAGTTCTAAACAATAAGCTTTTCAAAAATTGAATATTTCAACATTTTATTCTCTGCCTTTATATAATATATATTCATGTATATATGTGAAGATATTTAAAAAATGTGTTACTTACTGCTGCTTTTATCTAGCCAGACTAAAGACTGTGTAGTTCCATTTTTCATCCAAAGAATAGGTACAATCCATGTGTCACTTATTGGGAAAAATTTTCAAATTCAGTTAATTTTCACACATAAGCATGTAAGCACAGAGCCATTATTAAATGAGATGATAAATAATAGAACTCGGAATCTTCAGTCATTCCCTCTGGATGTGTAGGACTTGATTCATGATTCACTGTTGTTTTTACAATCCAGTTTTGCTTTAGCTATTTGTTTACTCTCTCTTGTTGTATCTTATAGGTTTACTACTTATAACTTAAGGTAGCTACAAAGACAATCTTGTGTCTGAAGCTCTAAAGGCCTGTTTATAATAAATTATAGCCACCTGGCCTTTTCAGAGGTCATTCAAATGCTGCCGACAGACCCAAATCTATCTTTGCCAAAAGAGGTAAAGAGTAATTTAAGAAGAAACAGCTTGGCAAACATTTTAAAATACTTTTCTATGTCAAGCTTTCTCTCATCTTAAAAATGTTCAGCATGACTCAGCCAGATTATTCATATTTCCTGAATGTCGACATCCTTCCCGCATCAGTGGACTTGACCTGGATGAAATAGCTGACCACAAAGAGGGCATCCGTCATCTGAAGGACGTGCCCCTTGGAGATGGGCAGTATTTCCAATCTTGCTCAAATGCTCCCCAGTCTGGGTTCTGAAAGGCATTAAGCTGAGGGTCTGGGTTTTACCTCAAGAGGCATACCTCCTGTCAAAGACACAGAATATCACAATGAGAAGAGACCTTTATGTCTCTTGTTTCTCTTCTCTGGGATTTTAAAGAAAGAGTAGGACAACCTGAAAATTTTGGTGGTGGTATTTGAAAATTAATGACCTGTTTTAATTTGCATCTCTCTGATGATTAGTGACAATTAGCATTTTTTCATATGTCTCTTGGTTATTTCTATGTCCTCTTTGGAGAAGTGTCTATTCAGGTCCTCTGCCAATTTTTTCATTGTATTGTTTGACTTTCTTTTGTTGAGTTGTATGAGTACTTTATATATTTTGAAAATTAACCACTTATCCATTGTATCACCACACACCTGCCAGAATGGCCGCCATCAACAAATCACCAAATAACAAGTGCTGGCGAGGGCGTGGAGAAAAGGGGACTCTAGTACACCGCTGGTGGGAATGCAGACTGGTGCAGCCACTATGGAAAGCAATATGGTGTTTCCTCAAAAAATTAAAAATTGAACTTCCATTTGATCCAGTGACCCCAATTCTAGGAATATATCCTAAGAAGCCTGAAACATAATCAGAAATAATATATGCACCCCTGTGTTCATAGAGCAATATTTACAATCGCTAAGATCTGGCAACAGCCCAAGTGTCCATCAGTAGATGAGTGAATAAAAAAGCTATGGTACATATACACAATGGAATACTATGCAGCTGTAAGAAAGAAAGATCTCATACCCTTTGAGATGACATGGAGGGACCTAGAGAGTATTATGCTAAGTGAAACAAGTCAGTCTGAGAAAGCCAAGTATCACATGATCTCACTTATTTGTGGAATCCAATGAACAAATTAAACTGATGAACAAAATAGATCCAGAGACATGGTAGTAGGGTAAAGATTGACAAACCTCAGAGGGAAGGGGGAGGGAGAGCGGGAAGAGATAAATCAAAGAACTCATATGCATATATGCATAACCAATGAACACAGACAACAGTGTGGTGAAGGCAGAGGGGGCAGGCAAAGGGAAGAGAGTGTCAGTGAGGGGAAAAAGGAGGGACTGTAGTACTTTCAACAATAAATATCAATTTTAAAAAATTAATTACTTATTTGTGGTGATAACTACAATGAGATGCAAGGATCAAAACTTTATAATAAACAGTTAAACTTATCTAACAAATTAAGAAATAGAAGGAATGGAAGGAGAAATGGATGAATGCTAAACCACATTATACTCATTATTTCATTTCATTTTTTATAACAATCTCCTGGGATACATATTATTACATTTACTTTATAGATAAGGCAACTGAAACTCAGAGATTTTAAATAAGAATTACCTGAGATTTGAATTATGGTAAATTCAATATTTGAACCCAGGTCTAACAGTATTTAAAAGCCATAATTTCGCCCTGGCCGGTTTGGCTCAGCGGTTGGAGCGTTGGCCTGTGGATTAGAGTCCCGGGTTCGGTTCCCGCTAGGGGCGCATACCAAAAAAAAAAAGGCCATAATCCTAACATCATAGGTGTGGCTACAAATACACATATACATGCATGTGTGGACACACACAGAACTATTCCTCCGACATAGTTACCATTCAGTACCATTTCTAGGGAAGAGAAAACAACCTTGCAACAAGGTCTCCTTTTCTTTTAACTAGCATGAGGTCATCCACGGCTCTAGCATATTACCTGCCACCCAGAATCCTGAGTAACTCATTATTTCTGTCTGAAGGACAAAAACGGAATACATAACACCCAACCCTTTGGTCACTATTGTTGGGGAGGAGTCTGTCTTGAATCCTTAAAAGCAGGTCTCTGGCCTGGCTCAGGACAGCAGGGGCGCTGCCTCATCCCAGCACCCCAGTAACATCCTGCACGGAGCCCTAAGTCACCATCCCAGAGCTACTCTGCAAGAGGGCGTGTAGCCAGTAAGGGTTAAGCTTCTTTGCCCACAGGCTGGTTTCCATTATATCAGACTCAACCCCAAGGAAGGTAAAGACAGAGGAGCAACTCTACCTACTTGTGGGTGAGAAGAGTCTGATTTTTAACCTTTTCAAGATAAAAGGGCTCCTGTTTCATGACACCAGTAGATACATTTAAGGTGATGATTGGAAAGCCACTCTGGTATGTCCAACTGTCCATGATACTTTTTACTGTTGTTGGCAAAACAATTTTACTCTGGTCATCTATGGCCTGTTGTTGAAAAATCATCAGAAAAGCAGATATTTATCATCAAAAATTTTTTGAGGTAGCAATCTCCTAAAAGAAACTACATAGCTATTCTATATAGTAATTCCCGGTGGGTGATATTCTGGGCCAAATTCAGCACTCTGGTTCCTTAGTTTATTCATTCGTTTATTCATTCATTCATTCATTCATTCATTCATTCTTTCATTCATTCACTGAACACATAGTTTTAGATGTAATATGTAGAGGCTCTGTTTTGGACACTGGGAATATCGTGATGAAGACTAAAGACACCCCCAACCCAAGGGAGTTTCACAAACAGGCAAAACTCTTTCCTGCAGCATTGCCACACACGCAGGGCCGCCCCGTCGTGTTAAACTCTATCGTACAGAACAACTTGGCAGAAACACGTCAGGAAGTAGGACATACCATCTGAAAATGCCTCCATAGATCATCTTGCTCAGCATTTGAGTAAGAAAATGTCTCCAAATATGACTGTAAAAATAGAAAAGTTAAGGTTAGAATAAACTACATCCCAAAAGCAATGTATGTTTACTTGTCTTCCAGGTAACAATTTTGTAAACTCACCTTAAGTGCGCTGATAAATAAATTCTCATTCAGGAAACTAGAAAGCATCCGGGTCATAGACGCTCCCTAAGACATAAGAAGCTGTCCATGATTTGAACAAAATTTAGTATCTAAATACTGACACATTGCATTTGATAAGGATTATTCTGGGCTGTGTTCCTGATTGCATTGTGCACTTCAGTTGAATGTTTCAGTTATTCCAAAACAGCTTAATAAAATAGTAGACTGTCACTAATCAATAGGTAAAAGGTGAAATAATATCCTACATATAGAAAGTTCAGGGTGTATAAAATGTTTTAAATTGATATATTTACATGGCAAGAATAAATGTGCACCAAACAGAAGGGTTTATCTTAAAACAAGTGTCTAAGTTAATTTATAATAATAAATGGTACTGAGCACCTAATATGGCTTGGTTAATATTTACTAGATAAAAATTGATTTAATCACACACACTTTCTGGAATCTATCTACTGAATATAATTAGGGTTATTTGTATCAAAAATTGTACCATAGTATGTTAGCCTATGATACTTATAATCCATCTTATGCAACTTTCTGCAAGAGTGCAGAACAAAAGGAAATATATGACTGATTTTACCTTATTGTAAGTAAACAAGTCAAAGAGCTCATTGATTTCACTCGTTTCTGTGAAATTTTCCACCTTCATGGATACAGCTCTAGACATCAGGGCGTGATCTTCTCTGAGAATGTCATATAAAACGTTAGAAAAAAAGACCTCATTCTAAAAGGAAAAGATTGAGCCACATTAGGTTCTGAGGTGTCACACAAACATAGAATTCAATGTTCCCAAAATACTTTCAAAAACTGACATGAAAAAGGGAAAAACAAAAAAACAATTGAAAAGTGTTCTGTGAGCTGCAATATGCCAAATAAGTCAGGATTCCGTGAATAATAAAACTCTAGGATACTTCCCTTCCATTTGTTGTCCTTTTTATTTCAATTTTTAAAATATCAGTTACAGATTTAATGTGATTTCTAAGAGGTCCCTGGGTGAATAGCATCTCTTGGTTGTTTTAATCCTCTAGAATTTTATAGATAATTTTAATAATCTAATATTAATCTAATTACTAATAGCAACCCCTTAAAGTCAATCAGCCTCTCTTTTTTTTTTTTCCCTCACCCGAGGATATTTTTCCATTTTTTGTACAGATAGAGTGGGAGGGAGAGAGAGGAAGGGAGAGAGAGAGAGAAACATAGACGTGAAAGGGACACATCGAGTGGCTGCCACCCGCACGACCAACCAGGGCCAGGGACAAACTGCAACCGAAGTACGTGCCCTTAGCGGGAACCAAACCCAGGTCTCTCTGGACCGCAGGCTGACGCTCTAACCACTGAGCCAAACTGGCCAGGGCCAATCAGCCTCTCTTACATGGACATTTATAAACCAAAAGCATGTCATAGTTATACATTCACAAGGATGTTGATGTAATAATTTGTAATTGGAAATAAATCCACAGATTGGATACAACAGTTTATATATAGCTCATGCATTAAGAGAAGGCAATTTGTTATATATATATATATATATATATATATATATATATATATATATTTTTTTTTTATCCTCACCCGAGGACATTTTTCTATTTTTTACTCAGATAGAGCGGGAAGGAGAGAGAGGAAGAAAGAGAAACATCGATGTGAAAGGGACACATCGAGTGGCCGCTACCCACACAACCCAACCAGGGCCGGGGACAAACTGCAGCCAAGTTACATGCCCTTAGCAGGAACTGAACCCGGGTCTCTGTGGACCGCAGGCTGATGCTCTAACCGCTGAGCCCAACAGGCCAGGGCCAATTTGTTACATTTTAATGAAAAGTACAGAACTCTCCAAAAGACTAGATTCTCTGACTCATGGCAAGGGCCATTTCTTTTTATTTTATTTTATTTTTTCCATCACCATCATCCCCTCTATGCTCTCCCACCTCTCCCACCCCTCCCCCCCTGCAATCACCATACTGTTGTCCATGAGTTCTCTCTCTTTTTTGTTCTTTTTTGCTCAATACCTCTGTCCCCTACAACCCCACCCCCCCCCGCCCCACCACTACCAGAGCTGTCTGCCTGCTCTCTATCTATGAGTCTGTCTCTATCTTGCTTGGTAGTTCAGTTTGTTCATTAAATTCTACATATAAGTGAAATCATATGGTATTTGTCTTTCTCTGGCTGGCTTATTTCACTTATGGTGAGGATGTAGAGAAAGGGAACATTTGTGCACTGTTGGAAATGCAGATTGGTGTAGCCACTGTGGAAAGCAGTATGGAGTTACCTCAAAAAATTAAAAATGGAACTGCTTCATAACCCAGCAACTCCACTTCTGGGAATTTATCAGAAGAAACCCAAAACATTACTTTGAAAGAATATATGCCCCCCTATGTTCTTTGCAGCATTATTTACAATAGCTAAGATTTGGAAGCAGCCCAAGTGTCCATCAGTAGATGAGCAGATAAAAAAGCTGTGGTACCTTTGCACCATGGAGTACTATTCTGTCATAAAAAGGAGTAAAATTTTACCCTTTGTGACAGCATGGATGGACCTGGACAGCATTATGCTAAGTGAAATAAGGACCATTTCTTTCTGAAGGGAAGCTAGAAGGAGAACCAAAGTACAGCCAAGGAGTGCATGGGATGGTTGAGCCAAAGAAGGGGCCTTGGGGAGCAGCAGGGACAGCTCACGTATACCCTGGAGAGCGGGAGAGCTCCTGATAATCCACACGAAGCCCCCCTCGGGGGGTCCGCACGATGACTCCTCTCTCCCCGGGACAGTGTCAGATAAACTTTCAAATTCTGTCTTCCTTCCATTAGCCAATGTTTTAATCAACCCTCTCCTATAAGTACATTGTTTTTAGATTTATTAATATCATTGAGTAGGCCATTATCAAACTCTGAGACAGGCTGTCATTTAAGACAACTTTAATGTCAATAAAGATCACCTGGGGATTTTGTCAAACTCATATTCTAATTCAGTTTATCTGGGATGGGCCTGTATTTTTAATAAATGACCAGTTGATGCTGACATTGCTAATTTGAGAATCACACTTTGAATAGAAAAAATTTAGGGGACACAGCTGTATAAGTGATCTTATTAAGTACAGGTTTTATGAAGCATAGTTCAACACTCAAGGTTTCTGTTTCTGCATATGGTTCTCTGATTTTTGTATTTAATTTCAATCTAATGACTAGATTAAAAGTCCATGATCTCTCAAAGATCATTGAAATGAGGCCTTAAGCTTTTTAAAAAAATATATAGGTTTTTATTGATTTTTTTTAGAGAGGAAGGAAGAGAGAAATAGAAACTTCACTGTGAGAGAGAAACATCAATGAGCTGCCTTCTGCATGTCCCCTACTGGGGACCAAGCCTACAACCTGGGCATGTGCTCTGACCAGGAATCTAACAGAGACCTCTCAGTTCATAAGACAACACTGAGCCACATGGGCCAGGAGGCCTTTTAAGCTTTTATTTATTTATTTTTTAAAAAAAAAGAAAAACAAAGCTTGTGGTAATTTGCTCAAGTGCCAGGATCCGATGCTCTTCTAGCAAGGATTATATTCACTCAGCTCCACAAGCAACTGAGAAATGTAGACTCAGAAATGAGTGATTAAGAACCAAGGATGAAAAAAAATAACTAAATGGTACAAAAAGAGTCTAGTCTTACCATCTGAGCTTCTAAAACACTAGTAATATGTTTTCATCAATTTTCCCAAATATAACAATACCTTAGCCATTTTAGTTGCATTCAGAGGTACAGATGATGTTAATATACTCTATTCAATTAAGAACATACAGGGTAAAATTTTAAAATGGTCAGAAAACCTGAATACACACTTCTCCAAAGATGACATACAGATGGCCGATAGACATATCAAAAGATGCTCAATGTCACCAATCATCAGAGAAATGCAAATCAAAACCACAATAAGGTACCACCTTACACCTGTTAGAATGGCTGTTATCAACAAGACAAGAAATATCAAGTGTTGGAGAGAATTTGGAGAAAAAGGAACCCTCATGCACTGTTGGTGGGAATGTAAACTGATGCAGCCACTATGGGAAAACAGTATGGAGGGTCCTCAAATAAGTGGAAAAGGGAAATGCCTTATGACCCAGTGGTTCCATTTCTGGGAATACAACTGAAGAAACCCAAAACACTAATTTGAAGTACTCTATGCACTCCTGTGTTCATTGCAGCATTATTTACAATAGCCAAGATTTGGAAACAACCTAGTGCCCATCAACAGACGAGTGGATAAAGTAGTGAAATATATCTACAAGGGAATATTAAACCATAAAAAGAATAAAATCTTACCATTTATGACAGCATGGAGGAACCTAGAGGGCATTATGCTAAGTGAAATAAGTCAGTCAGAGAAAGACAAATACCAGATGGTTTCACTTATATGTAAAATCTAAATAACAAAAGAAACAAATGAGCAAAATTGAAATAGTCTTATTGATACAGAGAACAGACTGATGGTTGCCAAAGGGGAGGAAGTTGGGGGACTGGGCAAAAAAGGTGAAGGGATTAAGAAGTACAAATTGGTAGCTATGAAGTCACAGGGATGTAAAGTACAGCACAGGAATATAGTCAATAAATACTATAGTAATTATGTAGGGTGCCAGGTGGGTACTGAAAAACCTAGAGGGAGAACACTTTGTAAAGTATATGATTGTCTAATCACTATGTTGTATATCTGAAATAATAATATTGAATGTAAACTGTAATTGAAAAATAAAATTTTAGAAAAGAACATAGAAGGTAAATTTAATTGTTTTATGGGAATGGAACTTCGTTCCTTGTTGACTCTAAGCACAGAGGTATAGAGTATAGGCAAAGGGCTTTTGAAGAAAACAAAGATTTACTATATGTATGTAAAGTTTATATATGTGAAAAGAGTTATATAATAAACACACACATTAGCCCCTTGAGAACAGGTGCTTTCTCTGCAGGGCACAGTGGCTAAAGGTATGGGCTTTGCAGTCAGAGAAACCTGGAACTTAATTTCACCTTTGATATTTAATAACTCTGAAGCCTGATAAAATTTACCTAATGCTTCTATGCCTATTTCCTCAACTCTAAAATAGAAAATATAACAACTACACTTAGATAATTGTTTTGAGGACTAAGATGATGTATATATAGAACTCACACTACCTGACACTTAAGTCCTGAGTGCTTAGTTAATGGTAAATAGCATATATTGTTGTTACTATCATCATTATCCTTGTCATCAGACTAGATCCAGACAACTGGGTTATAACACAGTTCTGTCCCAAATGAACTTGGCAAGTCACGTAACCCATCAATACTTCATTCCGCTGATCTATATAAAAATGTCCAGTCCAGGGGAGGAAGAGTGAAAGTATCAAAGCAGCTGGACTGTGGGGTGGTGGGCATTTTATGGGATGTCTGAAAATGGGTAGGGGGCTGGCATGAAACTGGGTCATTCAGAGGCTGCTACACCAGTGCTTCCCAGAAACTGTGATTTCACAAACAAACAAATAAACAAACAAAAAAACATTTTTTAAAGTTTCTGTGGGGTCAGCATAGGTTGGTCAACTTTTTAATCAATAGAAACCAAACATCTATCTACCATCACCATCTTTTCATAAAAGAAGGCAAATTTTACTAGCAATATAATAGAACATCACCTTACAATCTCCTTCAAAGTGAATAAATTTAGACTGTAAGGAAGCTCTGGCCGGTGGAGATCAACATTTCAAATAACAACACACTCTGTGAATGAGGGTAGGGAGAGGACAAAGAGGCCAAGAGCCCAGCCTGGGAAACACTTGGGAGGAGAGATGAGGGAGCCGCTACAAAGAGAGTAGGGAGAGCGACCCTGAGCTTCCGGGAGATGATGGGAGGCTGGACCAGAAGGGGAGAAAGGACCTCTGGCTTGTTATAAAGAAGTGAGGTCTGCGTCAAAGGATGATAGTAAATCTAAACCCTTCAGCATCTAAATCAAATATAATCAAATTGGCTTTATCATGCCATCCTGAAAGCACTAACTAATTACTTTACATAAATGATCAGAAATACAACTTACAGTTGAAATGGTCAGAATTGCATACCCATGAATTCATTCTTTTTTTATATTACTATTTACTCAAAACAGTAAAATAATATAAGATATAATATATAAATATCAGCTATTAATATTATATGTAATATCAGCTATATTATATGAAAAATTATATATAATATTTAAAATACACACTATAGCATATCACTATCATTAAAGTCACAGACCACTGATTATAACAGCTTTAAAATTTAGGCTAGGCAGGAATAAGTGAAAATAACCTATAATCAAACAATAGGGAAATAGTATATACATATACCTTATAAGGTAATATAATAAAGAATTAGGCAACCCTTAATGATCTTGCTTTCAAAAATTAATGATTTGTGGTAATGCTTTTGATATAATACGAAGTGAAAAAGGCATTATACTTTTCTGTGTAATTCCCACTTTTATGAACATTTATAATAAGTAAGCCTAGAAACAGAAAACATGTCAAAAAATAACACTGACCATCTCTGGTATTACAGATAATGTAGTATTCCTTGTATTTTTTTGTATTTTACACATTGTCAACAATGAATATGCATTACTTTTACAAGTAGGAGAAAAAAATGATAAATTTAACAGACATACTTACTCCTGGGAATTTAGGATTGAAGTAGTTCATTACTAGAAATTCAAAATAAGATGCAAAACCTTCATTGAGCCAGATATTGTTCCACCATCTCATGGTAACCAAGTTTCCAAACCACTTTCGAAGATGGAAGGAAAAAGAGCTTTCTTAAATTTAATTCAAGTAATATTTATTGAAATTGCATGTTACACAAATACAAAGTCAAAGATATAAACTTCATTTGCTAAACAGGACTCCAAAATGCATGTTGTTTTAACATGAAGAGATATTAGTCATGCATTCATTTGTCTGAAACAATTATTTCACATTCAATGATGGAAAGCAATTTTTGTATTAAAATCGTAATGCTAAAAAATAAAGAAAGGTAGAGTAGCATTTTTTAAACTGTCCACTTTGCCTGTAAGTTAAAAAAAGCAGAAGTTCTGAATGTTCACGTAATACCTACTAATTACAGCATCTTATAATCTATGCCAGGATTTTGCTGTAAGCAGTTATGTTTTTAAAATATGATTTGATCTGTGCCATGTACAAATTACTCAAGTAATCATGTTCTGCAAAATTTCCCAGCAATAATTATTTTCTATTTGAGCTTAACAGAAAGAGGCAAATAGAGGATGAATAGAAACAGGAAAGAAAAACCCAATAATTTCCAAAACCAACAAATGCACATCCTGATATTTAACCAAATTCTTATAACAGCTATGATGTACTAATAGTTAGCAATCTGTATCCCAAAATAACTTGTCCCTTAGGATATAATAAAAAATGACACTTTGGGTGACTGATCAAAGCTTTTGGACTATGTAGCTAGGTGTTTGTTATTCATTTCCAGTAAATCACTCTTTCCCAAAGTTTCTTATGGATCCATATAACAAGATAATTTTATAGTTTAGATGATTTCTTTCTTGACAGACTTGTATTAATGGAGTCAAGGTCAAAAGACACATGTGAGAATTTCTACCACATCAAATAACTAAACTTCTCAAATCACAACATGAAAGCGTATAGTTGTAATGAAATGAATCTTTGTTTACACCAGCTTTGGGGATGCAGCTCAAGGATTAATTACCACTCTCCTCACTGACATTAATATATTGCCTATATCCCTTTAATCTCTCTCCAAAAAAAGAAAGAAAGAAAGCTTGTAACAACCTAATAATGAAATGTGGATATCTTTCAGTGACCTTTTATGATGCACCTTATTTTGAGATGGCACAAAAACAATCAAAGCTCTGCTTGGCTCTTTTTCCTTAAAGAGGACTTTGTGGAGCCACCTTAATCTTTGGATGTGTAAGTACCTGACCCTCCAATGGATAGTGAGGTCTCATCACTGTGATCCATCACCAGTTGTTCAAATCTACCCAGGATCAGATTACACAGAGCCTTCATTATTTTTCTCATTGTCCCATCTTTTTAAAAGATATTTTTATTGATTTTTTTTTTAGAGAAAGAGGAAGGGAGAGGGTGAGAGAGATAGAGATAGATAGATAGAGAGAGAGAGAGAGAGAGAGAGAGAGATGTGAGAGCAAGGCATTGTTCAGCTGCCTCCTGCATGCCCCCTACCAGGCATAAGCCAAAACCCGGGCGTGTGCCCTGCCTGAGAACTGAACGGGCAACCTTTTGTTGTACAGGACAACACCCAACCAACTGAGCCACACTAGCCAGGGCTCTCATTGTCCCATTTTTTAAAATAATTTTAAAAATTTGGTGTGTGACAGGCGTTATTTTATTTATTTACTTATTTACTTATTTGCTCTTTTTAGTGGAGCAGCTGGAGGACACTTTCATGTGAAATAAGAAAAAACATTTTACCACATGCCTGATGTCCGATCTCGTGGGAGACAACGTGAGAGATCACCATCTTTTTATCTGTTAGCTGATCATCTGGTTGCAGCAACAATGACTCGTCGAACATCAATAGTCCCCAGTTTTCCATTGCACGGTCGTCAAAATTAGGCAAGGCAATGATATCTAAGTGGATTTAAATGCAGGGAAAAATAGAATCATCTCTTCCAAAAATTTTAAGATTCTCAGTTGTAAATACCTCAATTTATAACAATAAATATTTTACTGTAAGAAAATATGAGTGAATATGTATAATCTGAGAAAAGACTTTAAAGACAGATACCAAAATGAGAAGCTAGAAGCCAGAAAATAAATTGTTTTGACTACATAAAAACCAAATACCTTTGAGTCCTTTCAATAAAGGACTTGTATCCAAAATAAACAAAGATCTCTTAAAAGTCAACAATAAGCAATTAAACAATTTTATAATTTTGGTAAAAGATCAAAACAGATACTTCACTAAAGAAGATAAACAAATGAAAAACAAGCCTATGAAAAGATGCTCGGCATCATATGTCGTTAGGAAACTGCAAAGATGAAACAAAAACAATGAGATACCATAACACACCTATTAGGATGGCTAAAATCCAAACCACACCACCAAATGCCGGAGAAGATTTGGAACAACAAGAACTCATTCATTGCTGGTGGGAATGAAAAAATGGTACAACCACTTGGAAGAAAGTTTGGCAGTTTCTGATAAAGCTAAACATAGGTTGACCATACAGCCTAGCAACTGCACTTCTACATATTTACCCAATGAGTTGAAAATTTATATCCACACAAAAACTTGCACACAAATGTTTATTGCCTCTTTTTTTTTTGTAATTGCCAAAAATAGGAAGCAATCGAGATGCCCTTCAATGGCCCTGGCTGGTTTGACTAAGTGGTTAGAGCATTGGCCCGTGGACCAAAGAGTCTTGGGTTTGATTCAGGTCAAGGGAACTTACCTCTGTTGTGGTTCATCCCTGGCCCTCCTGGTCTGGTCATCAGGTGGTATGGGAGGCAGACAACCTCTCTCTCTCTCTCTCTCTCTCTCTCTCTCTCTCTCTCTCTCTCTCTCTCTCCTTCCCACTCTATCTGAAGATCCATGGAAAAATATCCTCCCATGAGGATTAAAAATAAAAAAGATGTCCTTCAATGGGTAAATGGATAAACAAACTGGGACATCCATACTACAGTGTATCATTCAGTGTAAAAATAAATGATCTATCAGGCTATGGAAAGGTCATGGAGAAACCTTAAATGTAGATTACTAAGTAAAAGAAGCCAATCTAAAAATGCTACATAAAGTATAATTCCAAGTATACATCATTAGGGAAAAGGCAAAACTATAGAGGAAGTAAAAAGATCCGTGGTTTTCAGGGACTTGAGGGAGAAGACAGGAGGAACAGGTGGAGCACAGTGGATTTTTTATGGCAGTGAAACTATTGGGTATGCTACTGTAATGGTGTATATATGTATATACATTTGTCAAAACTCAAAGAACTGTACAACACAGAGTGACCCTTAATGTAAACTATGGTCTTTAGTTAATAACAATGTATCAATATGGCTTCATCAATTATAATAAAGGTACCACACCAATGCAAGATGTTAATAGCAGAAACTGGGGTCAGGGTGGAGAGGAGGAAGAAGAGGTATATGAGAATTCTCTAAAAAATAAAGTCTATTAAAATTAAATATGTAGTTCACTGAAAGACATCATAAACTAATTTGAAAGGCAAACCACAAACTGGGTAAAGTATTTTTAGCTTATATCACAACTAGACAATATTTTTTCAGTAAAGAATTCTGACAAATTTAAAAAAAAAGAAAGAACAATTCACTAAAGAAATAATTGAAACAGCCAAAAATCTTATTTTAAATGTTCAACTTTTTAGTTATCAAAAACAAAGATTGCCCTGGACGGTTTGGCTCAGCGGTTGAGCATCGGCCTGTGGACCAGAGAGTCCCGGGTTCAGTTTCCGCTAGGGGCATGTACCACAAAAAAAAAAAAAGAAAAACAAAGATTAAGACAATGATATAACTTAAGCTTTCAAATGTATAAGAAACATACTAATTAGTAGTGGCTATCATTAGTATTAATAATTAGTATTAACAATTAGTTATGGGAACACTGACATATGGCCTGCTGGTGAGATATGAACTGGTACAGTTTTTAGGGAGCAATCCAGCAAAATATTTCATAATCTTTAAAAATGTTCCTACCCTTTGGCTAAATGAATTAACTTTTAGAATTTATATTAAGGCAAATAGCACAGATACTTGTAAACATTTTCTTACAAAGATTTTCTTTAGTGTTCTGAAAATAGACCCTCCCAAAGTGGTAGAAGCCGTTCAAATATTCAACCACTGACTAGTAAATAAAGTTTGTCAAACTGATATGTAGATGTTCTATGTCTTAAACATGACAATAAAAAAAGAATGTTTAGTTATCTGGATCATGTTGATACCTACAAATAAAAGAAAACCATTTCCAAGAACAGTGTCAACTCTGTGTTGCCATTTTTCTTAGAAACAAAGAATCAAACACAGAGAAAGACAGAGAGCCAGACTGACAGGCTCTGGGAGGCACGCCAAATGTGGCCATGGTCGCATGGGTAGCATTACAGGAGATTTTTCTTCTTTTTCTTTGTGTATGTTTTTCCCTATTTTCCCAAATTTTCTATAGTGTGGTCATTTATTATTTTTGTAACTAGAAGAACAATAAAAGATTTTAACATTTTCTTTTGCTAACAGAAGAAATATAGCATAGATATAATCCATGCTATATCTCCCTAGTGAATGTTCTGTGCTGTGCTAAGTTCCATATTTAAGTTGACCTTACGCAGGGTTGAAGTTGACAGTGTCTCATAAAGCGTGTACTCAGGTCATTACACAGCCTCCATACATAATGCTCTATTGTCTTGGGACACACTTAGTTGCCTTAGCCTAGGTTCCCAATTTTCTAACCTTCCTTTTCTTCCACCCACTCCCATCCCACCCACCAATCCCTGTCAGAGGAACAAAACACATTTTCATGATACACTCACTTTAGAGAAGAAAACATTGAACAACTCCCTGAGCTGAGAGGCTCACACAATTTTAAGAGCATGCTGTATAATCTATGAGAGAAATAATGCTTACATATTTCCTCAAGGATCGTATTGTAGTCACACATGATACCAATTTTATATACCAAAAATTCATAGATGGGACCCTTAAATCCTAATCCAATGACTCAGAGCTAAGAATATTTTTTTAAAACCAACAAAACCTTACTAACAGAGAACTGGAGTAACTCACACAGGCCTGCTGATAGGATCCAGAACATTACATTGCACACTTGTATTACACAAGAACAGGACAGGGTGCAAGAGACAAGGAGGATGTGAGGCTGCTAGTGAGTATCTGGGAGGGATCTAAATAAAGTCTGAGTGCTCTCTGAATACCTGCTGGGCATGGGGCACCACAGAGAGAGACAGCAGACAGAAGGGGATGGATCTAACTCCAAAAGAGACGCTAAATGGAGACAATGTGTCCTTGGAGGCTGATCTGAATACAGTTGATCTCAAGTCAGAGCCTCCCCACCCCCCTCCCACCCCCCCAGTAGGAAATCAACTGCATTGGAAGGGAAGATGACTCACCTGTTTTTGGAAGAGGGTAACTAATATTAAATAAATCTTCTAGAAAAGAGAAGATGGGACCTGTGATATTCAAAGCAAAGTCTGCATTTCCATTTGCAATGGCATCTTTCCGGGCCCAGATGCGTATCTACATCAAAACAATTGAGCAGTGATTAGGAAAAGCAGTAGTGATATTGGAAAGTGGCAGCCTGCTTGCTCCGATTTCCTGATAACTCTAGAGCCAAAGTCACACTGTTTCAAAAGAAGCTGCATAACAAAATGTTTAAATGCTTGTACATGCTCAGAAAAGCCCAGAAGTCTCTTCACTGAGTTGTGAACAGTGGCAACCCTCTGGAAGCATGTCATTTCCATCTTTTGCAATAACATGTATAACTGTTGTAATCTAAAACAATCTGTGTCTACCCCCATGGAAAATGTAGGTTCTATGTTAGAGTAAATGGACACCTCGGACTCTTTCTTCCCTGTTCTGGACATAATTCCAATATTCCAAAACAGAACTGTACAGTTTGTGAGGGTTATACAGTACGGTACATATTAAACAAACTTGAATCATGCCAATTCAAAATGGTTTGTTAATGAAAGCATTAATAGTCATATCTTATTTTCAAAACTTGAAATACAGTTAATTTTCCTAATTTTAAAAAGTTCATCAAGCCCGACCAGTGTGGCTCAGTGGTTGAGTGTTGACCCATGCACCAAGAGGTTGCCGGTTCTATTCCCAGTCAGGGCACATGCCCAGGTTGAGGGCCAAATCCCCAGTGGGGGGCCTGCAGGAGGTGGCCAATCGATGTTCTCTCTCATCAATGTTTCTATCTCTCCCTCTCTAAAATCAATAAAGAAAAAAAATTTTTTTTAAAGTTCAACAAAAGTCTTATGATTTTACAGTTGTTGAAGCAAGTGAATTATATTCTTTACTTATGACACTTCCACTTTAGTAGGTAAAGGAAATCCCTGCCATGTTCTGTTAGTTTACTGTAACTATGCTGTTGTTTGGGCACTTTGAAGTTATTTGCATGATTTTGGTGACTACTATAATTTGCTGCTGTTGTAACATTCATTACTTTTTTAATATAAAATTATGTTATGCCCCAAAACGATGCCATCTGAGCACTGTTTAATGGAGTTGCTAGTGTTAATTCTACAGAACATGTATGAAACTCAGTAACCCTGGAACGAAGGTTAGAGGGAGATGAGGGAATTAAAATAATTGTTCTGATGTGAGTACAGTTAACTTGAGAAAGAACTCTCTGCAAAACATTAGAGAAAATGCTAAGGAAATGAAAAACAGCACAACAATATTTGGAGATTGTTGCACTCCAAGAACACATTCACCTTAATTTGCTTTAATTTCTGTGAGAAGATTTCTCTTGAATTATGTAAATTTTTAATTATGGGAGATCTTCGGGAATGCTCCCCTTTCATAAAATGCAACCACCTGTTTCTGAAGCTTCCTGCATTGATCCCTCATTCCTTCCAAATTCCCTTGCTGCAGAGACCTCGTTACCCTGGGAAAGAGGGACCCAAGACTCAGCCCTGCCCCTACAATAAACTTGCCCTCCCCAATTCTAGTTCTCATTTTTGAGGCAACAGGAAGACTGCTGAACCAATGCTCACACTACCGAGTGGATAGAATAGTCTCCTTTCCCCACATTCAAGATAATGAATGAATTTTAATTCATTAAATTACTTGGAAAGTAATGGGAATAACAATTAAAGTGTGTATGTTAATTTTAAGTTTATAAATCTCTTCCCATAAACTATCATTCTATAAGCCAAAAGACAGGTAAATAATGGAAATGTCAAGTGGGGTGGGCAGGCTGGGTGGCCCCAGGTAGAGCAGCAAGGAGTATTTGGAGATGTAGCCATAAAGTTCCTTCAAAATCACACCCGGGTCACCAGTGTGTTCTCATGGCCCTCCTGCGACATAGCCGACCTCAGCATCTAAGACAGAGGGATATCTTTACATATGTCCATGTGTGCTAAGTTCTACTCAAAATACATTATTGCTAACCTTTGTTCTGTGTTTCCTATGTGTCTTTGCATGCCACACATTAATCACCTTTTCAATTTCACTAAATTTTCCCCTACTTGATGAAGAATTTTCACATAGTCTTGACGTTATTCCAAGAGTACATTCCGGTTCTCCTGTGGAGTGTGTGGGGACTCCTTCGCTTCGTTGCGCTGAGCCTTAGCCAAACGCAACATTCCACTGATAAACTCATCCCAAATTTCAGTTTTCTGGCTGACAACATTACTTTCTTAGGCATATTCCACTTCCTCTTTGCTTCTATGGCAGCTGGCTTTCTTTTCACGTTGATCTTTCACTAAGAAACAGATTTTTGGTCCTTTCATGAGAACGGTTCACTGTAGCATTGAGAGCAACAGGCGACTTGAGAGGTGGATGCTGACAGAGCACATTGGGTCACTATGAGCCCCGGGCCCACTCCTTCAGGCCATGTGCTTTCAAACCGTGCCTGAGTGTGTGTCAATATATGTGTCGTGAACGTTTGACGTGGCCATGTGATATCTGTGAATATCGAGGATTCACTAGTGACGATTCACCCAGGACAACCAGGCTGGAGCCAACAGCCGAGGAAGATAATGAATGAGCCACTGTTTGCATCCAGCAAGTATTTGTAATTCATCATTAGGTTAGGAGTGCAGGAGGAGGAACTTGGGGTGATTCTTCCCCTCATGACAGAGTTGGCTCAGCTACAGCGTCCTTGTCTCCACAGGTAGGAGACGACATGGGAGCCCAGGGGAGACCGCAGCCAGCTGTGGGGCTTGATCTTCCTCAACCCGAGCAGTCGGTCTGACCAGAAAGAGCTGGGACTACAGCAGGGGCCGTGCTTACCCCACCCTCTTGCGTGGGGCGTGAGCCAGTGCACAGAGTACTGGCACCACAGTCTGGGCACTTTCCTGAAGGATGATTATGTAGTGAGGATAGAATTGGGTGAAAACCCAGCAGCACTGCTTCTCAGCGGGGATGGCATTTAACCCGCATGCACCATCCCAGCCACAGCACTGTTCCCGGCGCCGTGGTGCTCCCACCACACTGAGTACCACCCAGCTTCAAGGCTGCATTAACATTGTAGGTGAGGTAAACAACAGGTAAACCTGAGCTTCAAGGTGCTAGTATAGCAGCTTTCCCTATTCTCTCTTGTCCTCTGAAAGACAGCGACAGCCTGGGAAGAGGGGGCTCAGAACCTGCCTTGAGTGGACTCAATGTGCGGCCTTCCATGGAAACCCCTGCAGAGCCACAGCGGGAACTATATGTCTCCTTCCTCAAAGCCACACTAAGAGCTTGTAAAGGGCTTGGAAAAGGTTGGAGTGAGAACCAGGAGGTGATGATGGAATACACGGCCGTACCCCTGGATGCAGAGGGGATGAACAACCGGCAGCCAGTGCAGAGGTACCATTACCTGGAGACTCCTCCTCACTCACCTCCTTGCCCCTCTCAGTTCTGCTGACGTGGTCATAGTCACATACAGCAAATGCAGCTAAATACGTTGGCATGGGGGGTGTGGTGTAAAAGGTGGTAACCGTCCATTTGTTTCCATTCGCATCTTCTTTTTCAGACTGACCTGGAGAAATGTATTTTAGTCCAAAATCAACATAAACCTAAGTAATTATATCCGCCTTTAAATTATTTTGTCAAGTTGATTGTCACCTGGCTACTTCTTCCCAACTACACCCCACAGCCTAGCAGGTTGGATTTCTCTACCCCTAAGCTATCAAAACCACATTAGAAAGGTCTAAGGACAGCGGCTCGGTCCTGGATTAGTATGTCGACTAATGTGATCTTGGTTGAGGGCCACGTCCATGAACACGGTCAGTGAGGCCCACAGTCTGCCTCCTCTCTTTTCCACCCACTTCTACCATTTCCTAATCCAGCCCATTTCTCACAGACTTAATCTAGAGCTTCCCAGACCCATGGTGGGCCGACAAGGTTCAATTCTGCCAATCTCAGGTTTCAGTTAGGTCTTCGTTGGAAGCAGGCTGGAGCCTTTAAACCTGAAATCACAAACTCAGACGCCTGCGAGGACCAGCTCCATGACGGGAGCCGGCCAGTGCAGAGCGACAGGCTCGGGGGAGGACCGGGCAGGCGGGCAGCAAGGCCGACTGCAGGAGGCAGCCTCTTCCCAGCTATGACCCGTGCTGTCATAGAACCACAGGCCCAGTATTGATAGATTGTACAAGTTTTCAAGGAAGTAAGAATTTTGATTTTTATGAGAAATCTCTGAATTTTTAAAAGTTAGGCACTAATTCAATCAAGAGAAAAAAGTCATGTGTGCCAAATAAAACACATCTTTGCGCCAGATTCATACTAAATTCACTAGCTTACAATCATGTATGACCAATAGTTGAACCTCAAACTAATGAGCAGACAGGCTGCCAATGTATAAGAACAGCGTAACATTCCCAGTTTCTAATTTAAAAAGAAACAGAAATCAAGACATAGAAATAACCTCTGTCCTTTGATGGGCAATTGGATAAAGAGGATGTTCCAAAAAATATGTACACAGGGTGTTTGTAGATTCTATTACATTTTGAAAATGAAATGTATTTTAATAAACATTGGTTTTATAATTATTCAAAGTTGTGTATACAGTTTTGGGGAATATACACACACACACGATGGAATACTACTTAGCCATAAAAAATGATGAAATATTGCCATTTGAGACAACATAAATGGATCTTGAGAGTATCATGCTAACTGAAATGTCAGACAGAAAAGGACACAAACCATATGATTTTTACTAATATGTAGTATATAAAGCAGAAAGCAACAAATGAACAAACAAAATAAATAAGCAAACTCATAGATATAGACAACAGTATAGTGGTTACCAGAGGGAAGGGGGTGTGAAGAGGATGAAGAGGTAAAGAGAGTCAAATACACGGTGACGGAAGGAGACTAGACTTTGGATGGTGAGCACACAAGGCAATAAATAGACAGTGTATTATAAAACTGTATACCTAAAACTCATGTAATGTTATTAATCAGTGTTACCGCAATACATTTAATTTAAAAGAAGAAACAGGATTTATCATCTCCAAGATGTGGGTGCCACCACAAACCCCATGTGACTGCTTTTCCTAATTATAATATACTACCAGCACATTGCCTAGAAAAAGCTATTGATTTAAAAGCTATTACAGAGTTAAATAGATATAGACATATATAATTAATATATTACATATGTATTAAATATATATTTAATGATAATTTAGTATAATTATCTATATAATATAATATATTATATACTTGTATATATATGGACAGGAAACATGACTTACCTAGCTTTGGCATGTTGGAAAGAGCCACATAACTTGGATGGTGAATAATTGTAATATTAAAAGTTGCCTTCAGAGCTGGTTCATCAAAACAAGGAAAAACATTTCTGGCAAATGTTGGTTCCATCTGAGATGCTAACAGGACCCTAAAATACATTTTTGGGAAAAATCTATTTTTATCTCAAACCAGGGGAAGAAAAAACTACTGCAAGATTATGGCTTATAATTACATGTACAAAGGAGCTAGAATGTTTTCCCCTCCTCTTCCTTGCTGCCCTCCCCAGTACACACATACACTCCAGTTCTCACAAGACCTAAAATACAAAAGAACTATTTAATTTTCGACCACAAAATAATATTTACCTCATTACATCATTTGCCTTTAAAACCTTTTACAAACAAAATAGGAACAAAAATAACCAAAATGCAATGCCAGGCTTTTGAAATACCAAGTATTTCTTAAAATGAGATTATTACGTTGGGAATGGACTACTGCTTTTATCTTCCATTGAAATGCAAGTCAGCTGAAGAATGTCTACATTTTTATCTTTGCTCATATGCTTTCTCTTCTTCCCAGTAAAAACTTACAAAATGTTTTATTTTGCACATTCTTGGGGGGTAAACAATGTGGACAAATGCCTAAACAAAACAACTTGTATTTTACTTTTTGAATTATCCTATATATGGGTAGATTCACCAAATCCCTACTGCTCCTTCCCCCAATCTCCATGGAAAAATACAAAAAGTGACATTATCCCACTGTGCACTGGTGTGTTATAGGGAAAAGCTTAGGGACAAGAGTACCCTGAGCAAACAAGGAGACTGTCAGGTTCACCCTCTGTAAAAACTTTCCTAGCAAACAACTTTTCCCTCAAAATAAACCTGCAGTCTCATTGTCCCATTTTCCAAGACTCCCAGACCTGGAAACTTGTTTTTAGACAACAATTGTGGAGGCTAAAATCCTTTTTTCTCCTCCGGTCCTGAGACTTAATGTCTCTGATACATTTACTGTTGCTTCAGGCCCAGTTCTTAGATAAGTGAAAGGTGTATTCAACAAAGCCGTCTTGAGAGAGCACGGCCCATCCCTTACCTACCTCTGTGAATTCCTCCTCTGCAGTGATAAGGCCCCTGCTCACACAGAAATTCACACAGCTTTAGGAAGGACACACAGAACAGGTGGCATGTTCAAAAGCTTCTCATGGTCAGCTCATTTTGTTGTTGTTAATCCTCACCCGAGGATATTTTTCCATTGATTTTTTAGATAGAGTGGAAAAGAGGGAGGGAGGGAGAGAAAAAAAACGTCCACTAAAGAGAGACACATCAACTGGTTGGACTGGTTGCCTCCCACACAACCCTGACCAGGGCCAGGGATCGAACCTGCAACCCAGATACATGCCTTGACCGGGAATCGGACCCGAGATCCTTCAGTCCTCAGTCTGATGCCCTCTACCTGCTGAGCCAAACTGGCCAGGACATAGTCAGCAAATTTGATGTGTTCATAACCTCACTGTGACAAAAATACAATTTTCAACAGGCCTATTTTGCCCTATTTGCTTTTCCCCACTTTATTATACTCTTCCTAGCATGCGTTGGAATCAGGCCTACAGGCTCTGACACTAGCAACTTTGGCTGCAAAACTCTGCTCCATCTACTATTGACTGAGCAATCCTGAACAAGCCACATATTCTTGGTAAACATCAGTTTCCCCATCTAAAAATGAATGATGCTACCTACCTTTTATTGTTCTTGAGATTTCATATTATTAGTAACTAAATTTACCAACAAATGACCTTTGAATTATTCTATATTCCTTCCAATCTCACAAATTGTTCTTGCTATAAATGACCTACAGAAAAATTCAAGGGGGAATAAGTTATAGTGTAGAGGTGGAGGGCTAGAAATCACTAATTACAAACGTATTTTAAAAGGTTCCAGAGGTCACAGTTGACCACAAGCTGAATATAAACCATGTCTGTCTCCCCAATAAATTTTAAACTACCAGAAGTTAGGGGTTAAATATTTTTTCTTCTGAATCATTTACAATACTTGGGAAAAATATGCATTCAAATCAACTAAATAAGTATTTTCTCAGCATTGGAAGTACTCTAAAATAAAGTTAGCTTGATATTAGTATATACAAAGACTACAAAGTATTTTTGCCGAGTTTGTTACACTGGCATTTGTTTGATTTGTAGTATTGGTTGCTATCTTTAAAAGGGATGGGATAAAGTAGAGAAGAAGCAGCAATTGAAAATCCAGTGGAAAGAATATTGAGCAGGGAATTCAGTGACCTAAGCTTTCGCTGAGGGTCTACGGTACAAGCACAGTGGTATCGCTTCAGGAAAGTTGCTTAAACTCTTTGAGCATCCATTTCTATACAATGCACAGATGGAAGTAGATTATCTCCAAGTCCACTTAGAGCTCCAAAACTGATTCTAACAGGGTTAGGGACATTCAATAGGATGGGAAAAGAACCCTCGAGGTCATCTAGAGTTGGGAGAAACAGAGAGCTCATGCCCAGGCTTCAGGAGATCTATGGGCTCTCTAAAGTGACAGAAAGTTTTGTACTAACAACAATATATTAGCATGAAAAAGTGTGATGTAGAGTGAAAAAGCATGTCTAATTATATAATACATGCTTAAATATTTGGGAGGTCAACAAATGCCTATTGTTTATGCAATAGAAACTATAGAAAGTAAAGCTTGATAACTCTGTTGCCATGACTTCACAAAGCATATAAATCTCAAGGAGGTTGCAAGGTGGGGAGGAGGGAGAAAATCAGACTCCTTCAGGAAATGAAAAACTTTTATGCTTATCAAAATGGGCTACAGGTTCAAAAAGGCTAAGAGACACCAGCTTAGAGTCACCACTTGAACAAATCAAACATCAAGCAAATACCTTTCAATTTCATGATGCAGGTCTCTGGAGAAGTGAAATTAAAGAAATTCTCTTGGATTTCACTCAACTATTTCCCTCCCTGGTTTTATGCAAACAAACAAAAGGGGAAAAATCCCTATAATACAGAGTCTTCCTGGCTCTCAATCTTCACTGCAAAGGTCAGAGCCAACCAGCAACACATGCCATCTGGTTATGCCACATCTGGGGACCAAAGACTGGTATTTATTTCCCTTCTCTCTGCCTTGGACTCAAGCAACCCTGTAAGGATATCCTGACCTCAGAAAATAGAATCATCCACCACCCCCTCCTCCCTTCAAACCTCACTGAACCATGCTATTATGGTGCCAATAAAGTCTGGGTTTAGAGTGCTCAGCTGGTGGGGAAGTTAATTTGGGAGAATTTGTCTCCTAACAGCTCAGTATTGCAAAGCCATTTTCATTCCTGCCCTCTTGCCCAGCCGGAGAATCATGGACTCACCACTTCCTTGTGTTGAAAGAGGTCTTAGTGGTCAAGACCACTTGATGCCTTGGGGATAAAGCTACTACCATATAAAAAGTATCCAGTCGGTAAGGTACTTCATTCCAAATTATTTTATGAACTTTGTGTGCCTACAGCTCTAGCTATCAAGTACTAAATAGCACAGCTGGTTAAAGATTAAATAAGACTCTTTGGAAAGTTGTCTCCAATATTTTTTACACTCAGAAATCAAAATATGTAGTAGAGACAGATGTTATACCACTGGATTGGCCCATTAATCATGTTTGTTTATTATTTTTGTAATAGGGTCATTAAACTGAAGTTGATATCAGGCAACAATACATAATAACTGTAAAATTTTAAAGAAAGATGTTAAACCATGTTATGAAGATTTTCAAAGTAAATGGTCTCAAGGACCTGTGGGCTTCTCTTGGATTTCTCAGCTATATCAAGAAGAGAAAAGAAGTGTCAGGAAATGGAGACAAAAAATATCAGAGAAGAGATTTCTTGGATGGCGGGGCAGGGGAGGTATTATTTTGCCAAGTGCTCCTGCTCTCAGGGAGTTGGGAGAAGGTGCAACCCTCTAACACTAAGCTAAGGGGAGACAATCCCTCAGAGCAGTAGATGTGTTTCCTGAGGCTGAGACATAGAAGCTGGGTGCCCAACTGACTCTTGAGAAAGTTGAAATTGACACTGGCCAGAGTCCTACCAGGTGGGAATCTGAAAGGGAAGAGAACTGACTGCTTTGGAGGCAGAACCAGAGAGTGATGCTGCCTTGGAACCAACGTCAGTCCCAGACAGGGGATGTATGAGTGTTCCTTGGAAGAGCTGCTGGCCTGGAGACACAGAATGAGCCAGTATGGGGACTATTTTGGGTTCTGTCCAACAGAGCCACCTGGAGGAGCTTGGAGATGCACTACTCAATGTCTAGGGGCTGAGGAAGGAGTCATAAGTGACCATCAGAACAGAAAAATAAGAAAAACATCCTGCAAGAGTCAAGAGAATTGTAGGAGAAAGAAAAACAGTGAGAAAACTCTGAAGAGTCCAGGAAAATGACATCTCAAGGGAAACAGGCATCTGCTAGACCTAAGTGAGATGAAATGACAAGAGTACTGGTTCAAGTAAACACTGCCCTGTGTATCACCCCTCCCTGGCCTCCCCCAGTCCTGTCGGGCCTGGTGGGGCTGAGACAGCAGCGCTCAAGAAATAGGAAGTGGAGAAATGGAAAGACCACTACCCCCAAGCTTCCTGCAGGTTTCCATCCTGAAACCAGCCCAAACTTGGAGAAGTGAGGGTGGTTGGGGAAAGAGGGAGATTTAACAGTAAATTAAGTTCAAAGTTTTAAGTATTGTGCAGGACTGGATTTTCTAATTTCTGCATCTGGACAATGTTTGTGACTTAGTGACCATAGATCATCTGCCACATGAGAATGAGCAGGAAATTATAGGTGACTAGAATATTCTTGCAGGAGCAGGAAGGATGGCCCCAGAGGCTAAATTGTAAAGAACTGTGGAAGGAACACAGCGGTGTGTCTACTGAACCGTGAGGTGTGCTTTTTCAATATGCTGATTACACTGGGTTTCAGAAGATACAGGATCTAAATATTTGATGAGCAAAACCATCTCCCAGAGAAAACCTCTCAGCCAAATGAAATGTGTGGGTTCAGTGCCTATATAGGATAATGAAATGACCTCTTTTCTCTGTGACACCAATGATATCATGTGTCTGGCACTTGAGTTCATTGACTTTGTTTTGAGACTTCTCAATTCT